GGGCAAGGAAGGGAGAGTGGTGAAACACTGGCCTCCCTGCTGCTTCCTTCAGTGTTTTTCTTCATGTCATTAGTCCTGTACTCGGCACTTTTCCCCCAGCTTCCATTAGCAGAGAGTGAGTGAATGTAAAAATGTTAGTGAGGAATGGAGGCAAGAAACACAGAGAAGGCTTCCCTGCTGTTTTATTTGGCTAATTCTAGACCTTGGTACCAGTAAACGTAGTCATAGAAAGCCAGCATAGAATATATTGTCTAGTATGCATAAAAGCCTCCCAGATGATTCCAGCACATACTTTTTTTCCCCCCAGGTTATTCTGTTATTCTACATTGTGAATTTACTTCACTTCATGATCTGTCCAAGGATCACAAAGCCTTCTGACCTCTCTGCTATGCCATGACGGAGAAATACAGTTCCCCAAGGCTGAAAAAGCATCAGGGTTTGGTTTCCAGAAACAAGGTACTTGCAGTTTCCATGAACAGCAGTGTCACTGTGAGCGAGCAGCACAATTTTCAGATGCCACTAAGCGAGAAATGCAGAACTGAGGGGCAGGAGAGAGAGAGACATGTCATGTCTTAACATGCCTTGTATGCAAGGCTTCTGACTTTCAGCTATCACAGCTTTGTCACAGCTAGTGTCTATAGGAAGGCATCTGACCTGTTTCATACTATGGGTTAGAGTGATCCCTCTTACAAGCCCCCATGGTTTATCATATGATAAGCTAGGCAATTTCACAATTATCTGACTTTTTAAAAGAAACTATTTCAGTTACACATTTCCCACATTTTTAGCTGCTGTAAGCAGACTAAAACATCTGTGGGGAGTTTTGCCATCAAATGAAAACAAAAGCACTGTTAAGTAAGTACATTATGGCTTGATTAATGCAAGATAAACATTATACACTACACAGCTTTTGCTCCTCAGTAGGCCTATTTCACATCATATGGTCATACATAAATTTCTCTTACTAAAATTGCCTAAGTAGCCTTGCACCATTCTTGACAGATGAGCTTTAGGAACTATTACAAAGTGGTTTAAGTTACAGATCCATCTGCTGTACCCCATCGTTCTGATACAGACTGCTTTCACTGTGGCAGAATAAGAAGATGCGTTCATACCCTCACTGGCTGCAGCTCAGAGTCTGGTGACCTGGCTCAAACCCACCTTCTCAGCAGTTTAATCAGTGGCGTTAGGCTTTGTGCCAAAGCATGAGGGTGGGCACATGTTTTATTCTGCTGGTCCTGATAATCAGATCACACTGGGATTTGATTCAAGCTTGCTTTAAGTTTTACTGGGAGGAGGGAGGCTTTATAACCATGCTCATCCATTGACAGGCTCATCCATCTGACATGCTCCACTATTGTATATATGGCTAGATACTGGTATTTATGGTGGAGAATCCATCCCTTACTGGTCTGAGCAGACTAGTTAACTAGTTACTGCAGTGTCACTGCATGGTTAGCAGAGGTTGCTGGCCAGAGCTGAACTGTGCTCCCTTTCCCAACTGGCAGTGCTTACCCATGCTGTCTGTTAAGAGTCAGAATTCACTGGAGTCTCTTCCTGGTCAAACATGATTGCCCAATGTAGAGAAGGCAGAAGTGGTCATCTGAGGAAAGGAGGCACAGCAGTGAACTGAGTACAGTGAGCTAAGTTATTCAGGGTACTGTGATCATTAACCGATGTACTAAAGTCCAGGGTGGAACAGGATATACAATTTATTGCAGTCAGGCTTTTCAACAGCTGAAACAAAAAATGGTATATTATTCATAGCCAAAAATCCCATAGGAGATGTTTTACTGCTGTGGAAATAATTCTCCATATATTTGTTTTACGAACAGTAAAATAGAGATCTACTAAATAAGGCTATTAAACATATTAATTTTTTTAATATGTTGCAAAACATTAAAACTGTTATAAAACATTATGAAACAAATTAAAATAGTTAAACATGAAAAAATAAAATATACTATTTCTTAGAATTAAAACCCCTGAAAGTATATCCAGCATTAAGTCCAAATTTACTCTATTGAGAAGCTAAACTGCCATCATCTTCACCTTTTGATTTCATCTGGCAAAGCTTGAAGAGCAAGACTAAAATATTGCATGTAAGTTATCAAAACTAACGGCAGTGGGAAAGGATCAACTAAGGGTGCTGCAGTAACGGCAAATTAGATGCATTTTATTACTGTCTTTTAGACATCTTTCTTGAGAGTTGTTACAGTCCAATAGGGAGAAAGAAATGGAATTTAGAGCAGTACAAGAGCTACAGCAGTTTATAAAACAGAGCCTGACTTTTTAAGCAGTGGCCATGTTGGTGTAGCTCCACAGTACAGCTCTAGCTCATCATTAATGGCGTCTCAGGTTTTCTGTCTCTCTGCATCCACATCAAATCAATCACTTCTTCAGAAAAAGGCTGCATACCTTACTTTTGCAAAACTACTCTGATAGCATTTAAAATAATTCTAGTAGTAATAAAACAAACAGCAGTGAGAATTTTTGATTGCTGGTGGGGAAGGTGATAGAAAGAACAGCATCCCTGAAGTATTGCTACAGATTTAAAATGTACTCCAGAGGTTTTGTCTAAAAATTAAGTCTGCGGAAGTTTATTCCTATATCAAGGGTACAACAAAAATGCATACTTCATTTCTTCCCCTGGAGATTACTGTCAGGACTGTCTGCAGGATACAGCAAAAACCATGGTACATCAAGGACCTGATGATGATGGTTCCATTATCCTCAGAGCATGTCTGCATCAGCTTCAGCCACATCACTATTTAAAACCAAACTGTGTTTTCTCCTGGCTGACTGTGGTCCCTAAGGGAACATCCATCCACTGAGCAGAAGTGACTCACCAACGCTCCAGCCCCACACTGGATACAGTCAGCTGCAGGGATGACTTGTAAAAGAGCTGTCACAGCCATCCTGGAGCCCAGCAAATGCTGCCTCACTGGAGGTGTCCCACTGTGCAGCCCGTCTGCTTTTGGCATTTGCTGTGCAGCTGACATGGAAAAACTCCCAAGTCCTTGGCTCTGTGAGTTTTTAAGCTGTGTCATTAAAAAGAGAGTTAATGGAAGTAGCTGAATCCCATCTTGGTTTAAAAATGTCTTGGAAATAAAATTGTGGAAGACTGCACGACATCAGAGGTGCTCAAGGCAAGCAATTTAGCAGGAGCGACTGAATGCCTGTATATGTGTCTCACAAGTAACTACCATTAACATATCTACAGCAGTAGTTCAATCAAGGTTTTAGCTGCTGAAGAAGTGTTTTAAAGACTCTTACACAAACCAACCATTCAAAGTGCTACTATTTGAATTGATGAACTCATCAGCTCAGCTGGAAAACATACCAACTTGGAAATGCATCTGAACTGTGTACTGCATTAATGCACACATTTAATTTAAAGGAAGAAGCTCTATGGATTTTAAAACTTAAACTCTGCAAACAGCTCCATCGAAACTGCTGTGATAAAAGAAGCAAGGAGAAATGTTCTGGGAATGGAAGCCCCTAGTTTCAGTTTTATGCTAAGTTTTAGTCTACAGAGCTCACAAATGAAAAAGCATTACAATAAGACTTGAGAAAGCACACAATTACTTGGGAAGAAAACCATGTAAAAGGATTGAAAACTCAAGTGTTTATATTCATCTTTGCTTTTTTATATTCATCTTTTTACTGCAGTTAATAAAACTAAGTAGAGCCGGGCCTCATTTGAGTGTTGATGAGGTGCATTTGGTGGAGAGAAAAAAGCCAAACCAGCAGTGTAATCAGGGCATGCTTCTATCCACCCTTGGCTGGGAGAAAGGTAAGAGCCAAATCCCATGCACTATTACATCTCTGCTAAAAGGGTCCTATTTTGTTTCATTTAAATTTGCATCTGGTCACCTGGGGAAACTGGACAAACTATGCCCTCTCCTATCCCCCAGGAAGAGGGGCGCAATGACTGCATGAACGACAGATGAGAAACTGAGCTCTATGTAAAAGGCTAAAAGGCTTGTTATCCACTAAGCGAGTGCTATATACTCCTGCGCTCGCTGCTATGCTGCCACCTGGCGCAGGCTGGGGGCGTGTATTCTGAATGCGATCTTAGGTTTGTCTGCTAAACTTAACTGTGTCCGTTTTAATTTAGCTCTGGAGGGATTTCAAGGCTGTCCACTATTGGGTGGCAGGTGTGAAGATTATTCTTGAAAAGCTGTGCTCAACCATTAATTGATGAAAAGCTCTATGTCTGTCAAGTTCCATTTTTTTTTTTTTACCAGAAGCAAGCAAGTGCACTGCATAAGAAATGAAGCATGTCAATTATGGTATGATTCCAGTTTAACACCCCTCCAACCCTTAACTTCAGCAAGGCTGTTTCACCTTGAAAAAATTCAAACGCACAGCATGCAGAATGTAGCCATTGGTAGTTTTTTCTTCCTATATGGTTAATGTACATTCTCTAAAAGCTAAAAGATTTGGCTCTTCCCTTCTCCCAAAAGGTGGGAAACGTATGATTTGAAAAGCAAACCTGAAAAAGGAAAATAATGCAAACTCATTCTTTATTAAAGCCTTTATAGAGCATATTTGCTAAATGTCATGGATGATGTAGCTTATGAGGATCATTTCTCTGCATAGATTATTCAGGAGTGAAATTGGAATGGAAGAGAAGCCTAGTGAAAACCCCTCAAATTTACTGTGGGAAGTTAAAGACACCCCCAAAAAAACAAACAACAAACCCTCTCTCCCCCAAAAAACCCAAAGCCCCTTAAAGCAAAAGAAGGAAGGGGCAGAAGAAGCAAAGCAGCATAGGACAGAACCAGCTCTGTTTCCAACAACGACCACAGTTTCTCATCAGATGAAGCAAGAGGTGTTTAGCAAGTAAAGGAGGAGATATATAAATTTAATCTAATAAAGGCATTTATGATTATTATTTTTTATTCGCATTGCAGCTTCCCAGGATACAGTTGAAGCAGAGGTAGACCAAACTTTAAGAATTTGATATGTTTAAAAAAAACCAACAAACCAACCACTTTAAAGTGGGCAAAACTTTAATACCAACACCATAAAACAATTATACAAAAATCATGTACGTATTTAGACAGCTCAAAATAATATATATATATATATATATGCTTGGGTGGAAAAGGAACTTGTGCAGTTTTAGATTGTGACTGGCTGTAGCTGAAAAAAAATTAAAAATATCTTTATTTTTCTCCAACAGTGCAGTTGGAAGTTTGATAGTTCATCAGATTTATAACAAGAGACTTACTGTGTGGGTAAGCAAATAAAGCTGTTCTGGAGATGACTGGAGAACTTCAGCATACCTAATGTCTGCCCCATACAGTACTGTTTTGACAGGAGAAACAAGGAAATGCAGGTCAGAAGAAACCCGTTTTTTCTTTCAGGGTGGTGGAAAGCAAGCTATGATACATGAGCCCAAAGATAAGAACTATTACCTAGCACTTGTGCTGCAGTACTTCATTTCCGCCACGGCTGCTGGAGCCAGGAGTGTAACAGGAAGAATTTAAAAACAAACTGGAAAATGAACTACTCCTTTCAACAGCAGAATATATTATCATTGATTACAAAAGTCAAAAGAGCTAAATACTTGGGAACTTGGGAAGGGGTTGGGGACAGGGAAGATAAAAATATTGGAAAAAAGTATTCTAGTTCTAAATGAATTTTATAATCACAAAAAATTCCCAGACATTTAAATGACTGAAGTACCAGTTTGCCTTGATTTAGACACACCACTAAGATGTTCCAGATGTGACAGCAGCTTTCAGCCTCAAAATACACTAATTTTTTTATTAGGAAAAAGGTGAAATACTCAAGACTGGGCCACTAGATCAAGAGGCTACTAAAACAGAGCCCCAAGAGTCAATAAAAATGGAATAATTTCTTTATGTAGGTATAAAGAGAGGCTACTGTAAATATGTAACTGAACAGCTAGATGTGGGTGCTTCCACAGCACAGCAATGCTTCCAATTGCTTAACTGTACCAGCCAACTGTTGATATGGCAGAAGCTGTTTTTACATTATAGGTCTCAGTTTCGTATCAGAATATCTATAGGTATTCCTTTCTATATTTCTTTTGGAATTTGAGACATTGAGGTTTGGGTTTTTTTTTGGTTTTGTTGAGGGGGGGTTTTTTAATTTCATTTTTTTCTTCAATTTTGGGCATCTATAGTATTTAATGTCTGCATATGCGAGTACACAGGTGTATAGATATCTCAGTTTTAAAAGGCATGTTTTACCTCTTTTTCATACAACTGACATTGTTTTTTTGAAGTCTTGCTTCTCCTGTCCCATATTACATTCTCCATTAAAATTTGTTATTCAGATGTGCAGGCTTCAAACACTGATCTATGTAGTACAACATTAGGGGGTTTCCTGAGTCAGGTTTTATTCATCGTTATCTGTAAAAAACAGGAGCAGGGGAGAGACAGGGTGAAAAGGAACAACAAACACACAGAGCAGATCAAGCTGGGGTTACAAAACAGATTAGAAACCACAATTTAGTAAGCAGTAGTACCAGTTTCACCAACTCAGTCACCAAGGAGGTGAATGTTACCCAAACTGCCTTGAAAGCACTCTGTGTGCAAACACCGAGCAACATGTCATCTTAGTGAATTTAAGGTAGTTTCACCTCAAGCAGCCTGCCTCAGTTAGAATAATCCTTAGTAAAGAGCAGCATAGATTTTCCCCCCCTAGCTTTTCTTATTTGAAGAGTACAAAACTTTTGAGACAGAAGCCCACAAACATGCTTGTGACTCACTTGTCCTCTATTCATCTTAGTATAACATTTTTTCTTTAAATGTCTGAAATTTAAAGAACTACTTTAAATGTAGTGTTTATGTTACTTCAGTACTAAAGTACTACATGTACTTTAAATGTCTGAAATGTAAAGAACTACTTTCACATAGATTTTTGTATGCTACCACCAATTTGTGAAAAACAGAGTTGGAACTGAAGCTATTAAAAATAGCCACCTATTAATCTGCATTTTGCAAGATGAAAGCTCATTTTAATAGGGTTCACTTAGTTTTCAATTGGTATGCCAGCGTTTCAGCAAGTTAGCATTTAAGCCTTTTAGTACTAGTTTTAAAATAGCCTTAAGGTAAAGTGGCAAGAGACTGGTAACACTAGAGTTACCATTTTCTTCTTGTTCTATATTGCCAGTCCTTTGGACACTTGAAAAACTAACTTCTATAATATATTGTTCCAAGTCTGTCATTAAATCAATAAACTGTTGCTAAAAAAATATTTTTCAGACACTTTTGTGTCATACTTCTATAACACAGCATACAACGAACATGGCATTGCTTATTCTTACTGAGTGGTTCTATATCATTTGCAAAATAAAATTGGGAAAATGCAATTTGTATTAGCAATTTTTTAACTATCTTTATAAAACTAGTTTTTAAGACCTTTTCCCCCTGATACATTAATATATAAAACTCATAGAAAGCTGTCATCTTATTTGACCCTTTATTCACTGTTACTGCAACACTTTTGTAAAAGATCTTAAAAGATGCAGAAATGTTGGTTAACATGTATTAGAATGTTTTCTCAATAATGAAACACATTAAATAGTGCACATCATTGCACGCATTTCTAAAACCAATGTATAATGATTCTGATTTCTAGAAAAATAACTGAGATTTTAGATTTCTTCATTTTAACCTCTCCAGTGAAAACTTTCATCATTAGAAATCTAAAATTACATAACTGCAGTTAAATGTTTGACATAAGAGGAAAAGAACCATACCAAAACCATTTTTCATTGAATATCATGTGTGATATTTCACAGAGTGACCCTGAAAGGTCCAGGAACTAACTGTGTGCCTAGTAACCTGTGATATGCTAGGCAGGGCTTGCAAGATAAATTAATGTATCACTGAACCAGTTGAAAACAAAGATGGATGGTACCTCCACATCAGGTTTTTCTGAAAATGACAGTTATAGGAGAAGAAGCAACATGAAATTTTCTTTTCAGAAACATTGCAAGCCATTAAAAATAGTTTTGGAGAAGTACCATATTATTTAGCTAAAAATTAAGTAATTAAGATAAATTATTTTTAATTCTGAAAGTTTTATTCTAGACTTCCATCTTCCCAGTTTGCATAACTATTTTACAGATATGAAATAATTATACTGCACCTTCCCTATTGTGGTGCAGTAGGTGCACCCTAGACACCTATTGTTAAGAGTTGACTGCATGTGTATGTGCTGTGAAATCAGACTGAGTAGCGTGCTATATCAAACTTTGCCATGTTTTATTGCAGGAATAAGAATACCTTTTGTGAAAAATAGTATTTTTACCAATTTAGCCAATCACTATAACAAAGCACAGGTATGTTTTTAAAAGTATGTCAGAACCTATAGTGTATGACCAAGAAACAGCGCAAGATGAGCTGTAATTGCCAGAGATTACCTTCTTGGTAGGCTCCATCTGCCATTACTAGGTGAAGTATTTTGGCATATAGATGCTTGTGTTCATTTCCAAGAATATTCTGAACTATGGATGAACAAATATCAATATTTTCATCTTCATCTTCATGTATAGCCTGGGAGAAAGGACAATCCACATTGCCAAAATGAAAATGGGCATAGAATTAAGTAGTTCAGATTCACTAAACGCAATTCATGGTTAAACCCAAAGTTTCTCTGTAATTCAACAGTATGGCATTTTCTTGGTTAATATTTTAGTGTGTTGAAACAGAATAAAAGATTAAAGACATAAGCATCAATTCTAGTCACACAATGCAGTTAGTCACTGGCGCAGTAAACAGCCCTAGGTACGTGTTTCTTAACATATTTTCTACAAACCTTGATTTTCTCATAAACTTCAATGAACTTATCGAAGCCTATTTCACATTCCAGGTTATATCTCAGCTCTTCCAAATGGCTGAAGATGCTATCACATTCTTCACATTCACTGGCAATCTCTCCATCACTATTATCTATGAAGAAAGAAAACAACAGTGAAAACTGCTCTGTTTTTCTGCATTCTTAATGTTGTTTCTGTGTCCCTAAACACGATTATCCACACAGGCCTCTAAATGTAATGCAATCAGGTAAGCTCAGGAACGCTAGACAACTGCAAGAAAGTAGGAACAGTCCTTTTCCTGACACCTAAGAAATTCTGAATCTCTAGCTATCTCCTCTAAAAACCCACAAGGGTATTTTACTGAAGGAAAACAAGGTATGGTCTTAAAGCAGACTTCTATTTAGCAAAGCAATGTTGTTAGGTCAAGTTCCATATAGACATCCCACATTATTTCTGAGGTGGAACTGATGCAGGATTTGGTGGCTGTCCCATGCTTGGGAGAAGAGGTCCTTTCTGAAGCAGCTGTCTTAACACATGTGTTAAGAATCAGTTACTTCATTTCTGCACTGAGATGCATCTTGTTCTTTGAAGCAAGTCTAAAAAAACAGTACTAATTTAGCTACAAAGTCCCTCATTCTTTTCTGGGTGCATCTCCTTTGCGTAGCAAATTCAGTATGCCAGTACATGAGAGAAATCAACATGATTTTGCTTATAGGCTACAGAAAATTTATAACCTATTGTAAGTCAAATATTAAGTTTAACAAAAAAAGGATCTATTTAAAAATCCCTATGTAAAATCCCTATGCAATAGAATCCCACAGAATCCCTATGTAAAATCCTATTATAAAATGCCAACTGTTTTCACCCAAGAAAAATACTTCCTTAAATAAATAGTTGAATTATGAAAGGACTTACCTACCCAGGGAAAAAATATACAAAAAATATACAACTTTTTAGATTTCAGAGCTGATATTATCAAATCTTTTGATATTTGATATTATCAAATAGTATTGCCTGGTAGGTCACAGAATTTGTGAGTTAGTATTAAGAACTAGTGCTACTTTCAATTCCTATGTGACTAGTGTAAGGTATAATCCTGACCAAATTGTATTCCCAATTCACAATACGAACAAATACACCCATAAGAAACTATAATTGAAATAAAAAGAATGAAAAATTGTATACGGATTAAAAACTCATTAGATGACTTCTAATCCTATATTTAACTTCTGGATCTTGACCAGATTTGGTTTTGAGTGCTGTTCATTCCACCGAGGTCTGAAGACCTTCCTCCTCACCCCAACTAAACAAAACCTGCAATTCTTATGAAATGCTGTGAAAGTAGAAAGTGGGACACTGATACCAAATAACCATAATGCTTGCAACAACAGCAGGATCACAGAAACAGACGTATTGTATGTTACCAAAGTGTAACAGTAGCACTGTCAAAAAAATGAAAGACGCTATTTATTTTATCGTAAAATACTACTGTATTAAAATATTACTGTATTATACAGGTAATATCTTGCAGATATAGTCACAGATTTTCAATTTCTTTAAAATTGTCATCAACAAACCAAAATTACACAAAAGCTGTGTTTTAGATTAGTTGCTGATTTTCTACATCTTTTTATACTACATTTCCAAATGTGCTTTATTTTACACCAGTAGTAAACCACTTCTATCTCAACCAGAATTTAAAAGACAGAACTGAGATTTCAGGACACCATAGTGTATAGCTAATGCAAAATGCTAAAAGCACTCATACTTTTTTTTTTTTTTGACTGCATTAATAGCTATTTTGGGCTAACAAGAAGATTAATAATTTCATGTTCCTTTTGACTGCCTGTTAAAATTAGTTAATTGTAATGTAAGCTGGATCCCAGATACTCCAGTCATGTCAACTGCCATTTCTTTTGCACTCTTACATTGCAGTCCTGAATTATTCAAAACATATGATTTGCACAGTCTTTAATCTTCCTTTAAGTTTTAGACAACTAGAGAAAAAGTGTCTTCCAATCACTGTCTAATAAATAGACAATCTAGTTTGCAACACTGAAAATCTAAATATTATTGTATTTAAACTTCAGTATCAAACCTATTAACTACAGCTTTATTTCATTATAAGTATACAATGCAAAAACATTCTTCCACGTTTGAATTGCTAACCATCAATAAATAGGTGTAAAGAAATTATACCAGATTGCCATTCTTCATTAAGTGCACTTTCACTGCTGGGGTTATTTTCATCTGCTTCATCCAGCTCTGTACCATTTGTTATGCATTCGATGACATTAGCCTTCAAAGTGGATTCCTCCTCTTCACTGAATTCCTCACTAGGCTGCTCCCTAAGCAATTGCTCCATTGACACCCGGAGTTCCTGCAGATCAGGATCTGCCTCCTCAAACATACTAAAGGAAAGCGATATAAAATTCACAAAGTTCATACTTTACAAGACCAACCCTGTAGGAAAAGCTCATTTCTTTTGTTAAGCCAACAAGCTGGAAAGCCATTGTAGCTGGGGGAAAGCATGCAAATATGGGTGTCCTCAGTCCAACATGATTACAGCACTAATACCACTGTATCATGCAAGGGAATAGGGATTAGATAAACAGATACCACATTGTAAAAAGATGTGCTGTAACATATTAGTAAGATAACTTCAAAATCATTGTATTGTACACTGTTATAGAGCCCTGGTAAGTATAACATTGCTAATCCACATAAAAATGTGTCTGGAACAAAAAGAGATCTAGAGGTTATCAGAATAGGCACACCAGATCCCAAGCTGCAGGGAATAGTCAAGAGCCAGGGTCAGACTTTGAAGTCCCTGTAGAGCTTCAAAGAGTAGAGAAGGTAGGTGAGCGAGTTTCCCAGAACATATAAATAAAGGAAATACTCAAGAAAGTAAAATTTTATTTCTAGAAGAGTGGTAGCCATAAACTTTGATCTGCTTCAGCAGAACACAAGGTACAGAAGCCAGATGGAACAGCACCGTGGATGGAATCTGGAGCATAATCCAGACAGCTATTGGAAGCAGTACATCCCGTTAGCTTCTCAGTTCTCTAGAACAGGACTCAAGGTAAATGGTGCCTCAATACAGGATTTAAAAATTTCAGGTAAAATCCCCACACTGGTATACTGTGTGTAATCATTAGTGTCTAACTAAAAATTTTCTGGATCTAAGATGCCTGTAGAAATACTTGATAAACTTGATGCACTCACATATCCTCAGAATCAGAGGGTCCTTCTTTGGCTTGCTCATCTTCCGTATCATCTATTTCAAGATTATGGTGATGCTGCACATCTGCTACACTGGGAACATCGACTAAGGTTCTGTACAGCTTGTAAAGATCTGGGAGCGAACATGTTCTCAACAGCTGCAAAGGCAACAGAGAACCTGCTTGGTAGCAATACTAAAGACAGCCTGAGGTTACAAAATACTTGAACATGAGACTTTGTCCTTTCTTGTTTGTAGATCAATTTCAAACTAACAATGTGTCCAGCACAATGTGTCCAGCACAGATACTCTAGCTGTTGAAAATCTGACATCTTGCATTTTGCCTCTCAGCTAGAAGAAAAGTGTTCCTTCTGCCTCTACAGGTTACAGTGATTGAAAAGCTTTAAGGACACCAGAACTGACATACAGATCCTGGGTTTGTGCAGATTTATTCATTACCTTGACGGCTATCAGAAGAAAAAGAACATTGCATTAGCTAAATAATGTATCTATATATTAAATTTTTTACAATGTATATGTGCCAATCACTTACAGCTTAGGACTATTTTAAGTAGCAAAGAAAGGAATATTTTTTAATTATGTTTTAGTATTTCTCCAGGGGGGCTGGAACTAGATGATCTTAAGGTCCTTTCCAAACCTAACTATTGTACGATTCATTGTCTGATTCTATGATTCAAACTGAAGCAGTTCATACTGATACACTTAAGCACTTCATTATAAAGCATATCCACTACTTTCTAAATCTGTAAGGGTACAAAGAATGTTCATCTTCCCCCTGCTCACAAGTTGGCTTTTCTGTAATCATTGTCTAATTGCCTGATAAACAGCTTCATGAACTAGGGAAATTAATGACAGACTAACTCTTGAGGAATCAAAATTAGAGTAAAAAATCCATTTAGGTGACTATATGGATCTATGAGAACAGATGCAAGCTTGTCAATAAGCCTTATTTTCCCCACACATGTAAGCAGCCCTATCCCTGATATTATGCTTCCTAGCTATGCATCAACCAACAGGTACTATTCAATATTCAATCATTAATAGTGCAGCTTTCATGCACTCACAAAAAGGCTAGGAGTCAAAAGAAGAAACATTCTTCTTTATCCAGCATTCCACCATCCAGGAAATCCTTTACTACATATTGACTGATCACAACACAGCTGTGCAGTTTTCCAGACAGTCCTTGCCACCACTGGTTCTCCAAAAAGCAGCCGCTCTTTTATGCACTTTCCACTTTAGAACCCAGGCAAGTATTGCATGTAACTTAAGAAGTCTGCTTCATCTACTACTTCCATAACTGTCCTTCAAACATTTTAAATTCATATCAAAACCACATTCCACCATCCTATGCTCATTTCATAGACTGTGAGCTGCCACTCAACCCTATGTAGCTGATCAGGAAACACCTTCAAGAAGCAGTTGGTTCCATTCCCTCTTCTTCAGTTTTCCTGCTTCACAGCCAGAACCTGTGCTGGTTGATTAAATCCTGTAGGAAAAAATGCAATCACCTGGTTGCAAGAAATTATAAGATACCTCTGCTGATCTGTTCAGTGTGGATGTTTATGATGACAAGGCAGCTTAAGTCTTAAAAACTGCACAAAAGGGAGAAAGCAGAAAGTTAGGAAATGCCTCATGAACTCCCTCAGTTATGTCTCACAGAAGTGGTGGCATTCCTCCACGAACACCTGGACGCAGAATGCCAAATGGTGAAACTGGAGTCTCTCACTGCTGTTCAAGTCCTGCTGATAAAAATGAACACAGCAGTCCTACTGCAGGGCAGACATAGGCAGACAAACACAAGCACCTGCTGAAACAGTTATGCCATCTGTTCTGGTCTCAGAAATAAATTAGAATAACATTACTACAGAAAAACAAGTATTTATAGTTTTTTTAAACTTGCCTTTGGGTCATTTGCATCAAAAAGCCCTGTAGAAAGTCCAATCAACAATGAACTTTTGCCTTTATTTTTTGCTGGTGATATGGAATGTGAACGAGGTACAAAAGGCTCTTCCTGTGAAGACTGAGCTGACAGAACTGGCGAGTCTGTTGGTACAGCTGTGGGCTGTATTACCCTCTGGAATAAGGGTTCTGGTTGCAGAGAATCACTGGAACAAGTTTCTGATGTGGTAAAAAGAAGTCTATTACAAATCTAAATAGATTAAAACCCCCAAGCTCTTAAGTAAAAGGTAACTAAAGTGTATAAAACTAACTAAACTTCTGTTGTATAATTAAAAGGGAAAATAGCACTGTAAAAGTATTAAAATCTCCTTCTCCCATTTTAACTTCTTGGGAATATACAGCATTCAGGTATAGCCTGTTGTCTTCTCAAGCCTTCTAGTTTCTCACTTATCCAGTCCATGCCTGAAGTTATGGTGTCATCCATTTTCATGTCGCTTTTTGCCTTATACTAGATTTCTTCAAAGTTACCTCAACATAATTTGCCCAAACACTGAAAACACCCCAGTTTGCTTAAGCCACCCATAAACAGATGCAATAGTATCACTGATACTTCACAATATTGCCAATGCACTTTCTGTATGCAGACCTTCTGAAGTTAAAGACCTCTAAGAGTGAGCAATTCTTCTATGCAATAAAGAGATTATCATTAGCAGCTGCTTAAACCTCTTCTTATCCAAGCTGCAGCTCAATATTAATTTGCTATGACTGATAAACAAAGCAACAGTGTTAAGTAAATAATCAGATTTCATAACATTTTAAATAGTCATTTTAAAAGGATGTTAACATTCAGAAACTTGACATTCACTTTCAAGTCTCAGTGTGGGCCACTGTCCCGTTCATTGATGCACAGTGTAGCTTTGTTACATGTTTCCTCCTAAAGCAGCAAAAATAACATCCACCATTTGTCTTCCTAATCTATCAGAAATTTGCTTTTTAGAAGTATGAACTAAAAAAGAAAAATGAAAGTAGAAAACCTGCTCTTTTGGGATGAATGAGGAAATGAGAAGGGATGGCTCAAGTACTCCACGCTGCCAGCTATGATAAAGAAGAGACTTCAACTGACCTTTTTGAGCTTCTTTCGGTGGTTGCACCTTGTCAAACGCTAGTTTCTCAGAAGCTGCCTCATTTCTTCTGTCATGTGGTCCCCTATTATAAAATACCACATCCGTGGGAAACACCATGTAAAAATAGTCATTAGTCCACTGAAAAAGTCACCAAGGGCAGTAAAACTAACATGGCAGACAAGAGTGAAGCTTTACTAAGCATAACATTTTAACTGATGTATGTAAATCCTACTCAGTTAAAGTTAGTTGTTTGAACTGGAGGGAGGGGGATCAGAAGAAGAGAGCACTTACTTATCCTCTTTCTCTTTTACCCACACTTCATTAACAGTGATGGGAAATTTCTTGCTCTCCTTACTCTGGTGCTTTTTGTCTTCTGTTTCTTCCAACATCTCTGCTTCCAAATCATCAGGCTCTAAAATTAAGTCATATACCTCATTAAAAATGAATCAAAACCAAACGAAAGGACAGAAGAGAATATACATCTCTGCTTCCAAATCATCAGGCTCTAAAATTAAGTCATATACCTCATTAAAAATGAATCAAAACCAAACGAAAGGACAGAAGAGAATATACATCTTAAGATTACACTTAAAACCTTCAGCTTTGACAGTTTTCTGTATTTTGCAGAAAACTAAAGTTTTGTAACCCCGGAGATAAAAGTTTTTTTCCTTATATAAGAAGGTTGTCTTAAAGCTCCAACAAACTCTGTCTTCTAAAAACTTCAGTAACATTCCCCTAGATGTCATATAGGGGAAAAGATTCCAGCACAACTGATGGGGAGAAACAAACAAAATCCTCCCCTCCCCACCAACAAAAAAATATGAAGCACTTCAGAATTCCACTTGTGTTCTAGAGTTTTCTATAAGCACACAAAAAAGGTTTCTGGAAATTTACAAAATATGTTAGTGAATCAAATTACAACATAGGCACAGAAAGCACTCGGTCCTACCTAGAAGGTGTTAATGAAGACCTGCACATTACTTATGGGAAGACATAAAAGTACACAGGATCATTGCTTCCTCCACTGAACTAGAAAACAGTCTGTAATTAGAATTACTAATGAAATTACTTACCATCCAGTATAATAGGTTTGTTCTGCACCTGAGTAGCTCCAGCATTTTGAGATTCTTCCGGTACAGTCATGTCAGACTCTGTGACACCAACCAGTACTGAAGACTGAGCTCCAACAGCAGGAAAAGCTTTCTCTTCCTTCTGCTCCGATGAGGACTGATGACCTCCTTCAAGAAGTTCAGCAGTACCTAACACAAAATTATTCTATTATTTAAACAGTGCTTTGACACAGTTTGATAATAAACTACAATGTCGATACAAGGAAAGTTGAGAATTTTGGTTGCTTTAAAGGAGAACAGAATAGTCTGCATGCTTTTATTGTAACTATTATGAAAAGCTAGAAATATTAAAATTTGCTTTTTACTTGCTGCACTATCATTAGTATAAGTTTATACTTGAAATAAGCTTAAGTCCTTTTGCCCTTGGAAAGGAAAAAAAAGGCAAGAATTGACCAGAAAAAAAAAAAAAATCATCCAATTATATGGTAAGTCACATGCTAACAAGAAGATTATAGGACCTATCTAATCCAATATTCAGTTGATAATATCCTTTTAAAAAGCAGGGTTGTTTCTATCAATAAGCAAATTCCAGGGCTTTTCAACAAAATGAAAATCCTTCCCTTTAAGCACATCCTTCTTAGTTTCTTAGCATTTCACTGAGTTTGAAATATTTTGGTGTCTTCCAGTATCACTTTGTGCTGACATTTAGAACTGAGGCAACATCCAGAAGTGGAAAGCTAGAGAGAGGACAGAATATGCTTTTATAACTTCAAAATTGTTCTCAGTAGACTAAGTGTCAATCTGGCACTCCCTACACTTGCTGCGCAGATAATTACTAGCTGTGCTTACCACTTACTACATCTAGCTCCTCAAGTAAGTCAGTTTGCAGCTGTGACTCTGCTTGTCCTAGGATCTTCAGGACTGAATCAGTAGGGCTTTTGCCCCACACTTTTCTGTGGGGTTCACCAATATCTAACCTAATTACTTCCCCCAGAGTTTGACCTGTTGGGACACAAACACAAATAAAGAAATATTTAGAAATGAGAAACTTCTATTCATTTTCTATATCATAAACAAACAACCTCCACAAAACTAAAACCTACAAAGTCAGAACTCATGTCACCTCAAACCATGTCAGACAGCCTAAAGGCTGTGCTCGTAAGTCTACAGTTTTTTTCTGCCAATTCCATTTAATAGTAGGAGTATTAACATCTGCAACTTAATAGCAGCAGGAGATCTTTTCAGCAATTCAAGTGCTCCAAAAGAAAACCAAATGAAAAAAAACCAACCTGTTTAAATCTGGCATGAGGTGGTCTTAACTTTACCTGAAATGGGAAACTAGAAAGTTTTTCATCCTGCTAACCTTTTGACGTTTGTTTCTGTTATTTCTCCCTTCAAGGAAAACAGAGTATATAAAGCAACAAAGAACAGAGCAAAAGAGGCTTCTTGATCTTTCAACATCCTGTGTAAAACTATTATGCTATGAAGTAAGCTTGTCACATTCTTAATGATTTTTATTTCTACAATGTGAAACAGACCCTTAATATGACACACTAAACCCAGGAAAAAAAGTCTTCCCCCCCAAAGGTCAGAGAATGCAGAAAATTGGAAAAGACAGGCTTGATTTAAAAGAAGAAAAAAGCTAGGGGCACAACAGAAGTAACAGATATAAACTGAGGAAACCCTCAGCTTTTATTGTAAGAAACTTTCATGTATCTGCAGTGCTTCTGTTAAATTAGTGCCCATTTAAATGTCACTTACAAAAAGTTCAAAGAAAGTAAACATGCATTTAATTAGATAACTGTTGAAATTAGGAAATTATTGCTGAATCTCCTGCAAGCCATTTAATTACTTAGCCTGTCCCTTACTCCATATCCAAGGGAATACATAACCACTCATTTCTTAGGGGCAGATGACATACGAGTGCTAACAAGGTAAGAGTACTTGCTTTATATAAACAGATGCTACACATAGTAAACTGATTTACTAGTATCATGGTGGCAAACAAAAGTACTTACGATCTGTTCCAGAAAGCGAATCTTCCATTGTTAACTGAGCTAGAGGAACTACCAATTCAGATGCTCCAGATTTCCATTTTTTGCGATCTCCTAGAATTGGCTGGTCACCTTCTTGTTCCTTTCCATCTTCAGACCCAGCTGACTCAGAGATATTCTGACACTCCTTTTTACCTTTCTCATCTTCTTGAGCTCTAAGATTTTGATTTAATCTTCTCAGTATTTCACGTTTATTCTGAAATAAGGGCCAATATATATCACTTAAAATAGTACCCTTCTTAAAGGAAAAGAAAAATAAATGAAACTGAATGCAATTCAACATACCTGAATTGCAAAACCTGCCTTTTTTGTTTCCTCCTCAACTTCCTGGATAGCAGTTGCATTTTCATCCTTTAAATTCAAGCAGCATGAAATAAAAATTAAAAGAGTATGTCATAAAAAAATAATCTTGAAAATATTAATAGACTTAAATAATGAAAAATTACCTCTAAGAAACCTTTTTATTCTTTCTCAAATCAATTCTTTGTATTAATTTTACCCTCTTAGCAAAAGTACCTACCACACCAACTTCCTTCAAAGCAGAAGTCATGGAGATGACTGGTGTACTGGGCTTTGCTGGAAGTTGTGGTTTAGGAACAGCTGGTTCAGGCTCTTGTAGTCCATGCACAGGACTGTGTTCTGCAGCTCCCACATGAAAAGGCACATTAGGATTCTTTACTCCTTTTGCTATCAGCTGTATGGATAAAAAAAAAAATAAAAAAAAATCAACAAATTAACTTCAAGAATTTGCACATAAAACACAGAATGATCAAATATACTCATGTAAACTTTAGAAAAGGACGATAATGCCATGTTTTCATACAAAAGACACCTGCTAACTGCACGTGAACTTTTTCAATTTTAACAACTTCACCTACTGCTTTTTGTAGTGACACATAGCTAGTTGGACTTCTCGCTCCATAGTACACAGGCACAAAAAGAGACTGGGAGGACCTTATCACTCTCTACAGCTACCCGAAAGGAGAATGGAGTGAGGAGGTGGCTGGTATCTTTTCCTCCCAAGTAAAACTGTGATAGGACAAGAGGTAACAGCCCAAGCTGTACAAGGGTAGGTTTAGACTGGATGTTAGGAAAAATTTCTTCCCTTGAAAGGGTGATGAAGTATTGGCACATGCTGCCCAGGGAAGCAGTGGGATTACCATTCCCGGAAGTGTTCAAAAAAAATGTGTAAATGAGGCCCTTAATGATATGGTTTGATGGTGGACTTGGCAGTCCTGGGGTAACAGCTGGATCTGATGATCTTAAAAGGTCTTTTCCAACCTGGTTGATTCTATGATCATATGATGGAGTACACTTTGCTAACCTACAGATCATTAATAATGATCCTAATGATTCTTAGGTTTGATGTTCTTAAATTCTCGAACCAAATTCTTCATTCAAGTATACTTAAGATTAGGCTTCTAATGGGGGAATTCTGATTGACAAATGCTCTCTCAGCTTCAGAGGAAAAACACAATTATGTAAGCATGAAAAAAACACAGGATAGGATTTTAGTTATACGAAGATATAGCACTACATACTTAGAATTACATAACTATATAACAGATTTATTTTCTTACATGTTCTTCCCAGGCTCTTTTCTCTCTTTCATATGCTTCCTTTCTCTTCCACTCTAACTGTTCTTTCAGAACTGCAGCTCGAGCTTTTGTTTGGGCCTATAGTAAACAAACAAGCAAAACCAACCAACTTGAAATCATAAAAAGCTTTAGTACCCCATTCCATGGAACATTCCAAAAAGAGACACATTCTTGGATTACTTCATCGTACTTTCTCTCACTTATTACTGCAGAGATTGTGAAGAGAGGACTTCACCGACAACTGAACTCACCACACAAGTGTAACAACTGATCTTCTATGTTGAAGATAATGGCAGTTCCTCAAAATTTACTTACAGTTCCTGATTTGCATGGTTATACTTTTAGTGTACATACTAATCTTAAAAACAGTAATGTAAAATTAGAACCTCTACACAAAATTTGTTTTGAAGCCAAATGCATTAATCACAAAATATTAAATATTCAGCTTAAACTTCACAAACTTACTCAATATAAACACAAAAAGCTTCAGTTACCTTTTCACCTCTAGTTTTAAGGTTAGGCATAAGGTTAGCTGGTTTTTACATCGCACTTTAAAGATGATGGGGTGGAAAAAAGATAATCATACAATACATTAATACCTCCTATGGATTGTATGGTAGAGATAGTTACTGATGTAAGAACACCACAGGAAACAAAGTTCCAATCAAACATAGAATTTCTGTGAAACACCTTTGCTTTAAATATACTTCACCACAGGGGTATACAGCTCACGTTCCAAACCACATGTAGCCTATGCCAGCACATGTTAGCAGTTTTGCCTTCCTTTATTCTTTTAAATCAAATACAGTTGTTATTTAAGGTACATTTTACTTTGCCTTTCAGTATCAAACCTCTCTATAAAAGCCATATGAAATTGCCTTTAGGACTGCAGCTAACCTAGAGATAAATCTTAAAGGCAGAGATCTATTCCTTAAGCTTAAGGAAAAAAATCCATAAATTTGCTATACTGTATCACAACATATTTTAAAATTACGGAGATAAAAAAAGAGTTGTTACCTTGATATAGCTAAAATAAAAACCTCTTGTAGCAGATGTATGAACAAACTACAATACTACTCATAGCAAAATAAAATGTAAGAAACTTCATGAGATAGAAAACAAATTTGAAAACAGCAAGTTCTATCTCCTCCCGCCCCACAAATACCTTCTGTACTTCTATCTTTTTGCGTTTCAGTTCTGCTTCCTCGCTTGACTCTTGTCCATCAGAACTGGCAGCTTCATTCTACAAAGTAAGAGTCCTCAGAGAATTATCACCAATTCCTGTGTTTAAAAGCTGAGTGATTAAGCGTCTACTTAGATCATTTAGACTGACTTTGACAAACACAGGTCATGATTTCACAAGGTAACTCCTCACCCAAATGGAATGTCTACTTGGACAGAACTTCGTCTTTTGAGATTTGTGGGAGTTTTTAATTTATTTGGTTAGTTCTGATGGGGTGTGGGTTGGGGTGCTAGTTTTTAAAAAATACAAAGCTTTTACAAGCCAGGAATAAAGTAATATGCCTAATGTTGCAAAGGAAACGACCTAACAATGCTGGGCTCTCACCTGCCACCCCTCATTACTGTTGCATGCCCTGAAGATAAGGTGTACAAGAAAGTCTGATGCTTTGGAATTCCAGCTTCTTCCTGCAGATAAGGTGTACAAAAAAGTCTGATGCTTTGGAATTCCAGCTTCTTCCACTGTATGTGCTCCAAAGAAGGTGGCATGGGTGAGGGAGGAATACGGTAACAAATAAGACTATATAAGATCTACCTCTGAAATCTCTGTTTTCAATCTCTCATTTCTTTCCACGGCTTCTGCATATTCCTACTTACAGGACAGACCGACAGAACTACACAGAGGTTCTGACAGGTTTTTATTGCTCATGACCAACTTGTGCATACCTTTTATTTAAAATAAAAACTATTTAGAAGGCCTCTTTAGAGGGAAATTAAGATTAAGCATGGGTTTATGGTGCATCAGCTTAGCATTTTATGTGAGTCAGTACTAGTGATAAACTTCACAGCCTCTACAGTAATTTCATAGACTCGCAACACCTTGATTTTTCTCATGCTCCATAAGACAAACTTAGGAGAACAGCCCATGTTGGTCCCATGACAGACTTAAGCCACTAGGCTATCTTATGAAGTTTATACAGTCTTCTCAGGTAGAAACATACGTGACTCTTGCTCCCAATCATTCCTTTTACATTTAAAGGGACATGGGTTCCTCCTTGATAAACTGAAGAATTTTTGCACCTCAAAGGATTGAGTTTGACTCTCTTGCATCTCATCAGTGAGATACATACACAAAAAGTCAGTAATACACAAAACCCCCAGATTATTCTAGCATTAGAAAACCCTCCAGAACCTATAGCAAGGCAGAACTCTGTTTAGCTGGGACAGTGATCCAAAGAAACAGGATAGTACTGTTTGCATTCTGTGTCTACTTACTATGCATAAGATACATATGGGTGCTTAAAGGTACAAGGGGAAAGCAGGGCAGGAACATTTCTCTTATTTGAAATCACAAAGTAGAATGTGAATATACAAACAGGTAATCACTTGAGGAAATCAAACACTCAATATGAAGACAAACAGATGGGAAGGGGAAGAACAAACAGGAGTACAAGATCATATAGCAATTTAATGAAAAGATGGAAACAAACTCTGGACTGTATTTACTACGCAGATTGGCCCTCAAACGAAACCTTTTTAAACAAGTAAATGGATTGCTTCCAAGTTTGCCCTGGATTATTCATTTGACACCTTAAGTAGTGCTTGTTCTGAATGTACTCTGTGAAAATATTATTTTGGTTTTATTATGAACATATTTCAGAAGAGTGAGGTTTGATAAAAGTGTATTAATTAAACTGAGCCCATGCCAGCAGTGTCCAACTTCAATAAGCCAGCTACAGAATACATGAAAATAATTGTTTCATACGCGTTCTGTGTGAGCATTGTCAAAAAGTGAATTCTAAAGAAGTTCCTTTAACTAAAAGCAAATAAATATAAATGTGCTGGTTTGATGAGAAATTTAAGTGTAAAATTCAGATGTAGCCTTCTGTTGTCTTGGTTTTACAACACTGTTAGTTTACAAGCACTGAAGTTGTACCCCCATCACTGAAATAACAAACAGATTTTGCATATTCTGCAAGAAGAGACGGAAGTGTGGAACAGAATCAAATGTCAAAAATATATGTCTATACATCTCAAACTGCCGATGAGAAGTAAAAGAATACTTCCTTCAGAAGTAAAAGAATACATCCCACAGCCACCTTCCATAAGTATTTAAGATTATTTTTCAAACAAACCTTTTCTCCACGAAGTTTTGCTCTAATCTGTTGACGTTCATTAAAATTTTGTAGCCGAATCTGTCTTAATCTTGCCAAATACTCCTAAGGGAAAGAATGGAATTAAGTTTCAATTACACTGAAACTGTCCCTAGTATGGTTAACTTAAAAATATATAAAATTCCACAAAAAAAACCAAGATGGATGGATAAAACCCAACCCCACACTATTACCCTCACCCTATTAGCATTTAATAATCTCTGGAAAAACCCTCATCTAATGAAAATAAAGAAAACTGGAACTTATGTTTCCCAATTTCTGCAATTTCATTTTCTATCATTGAAGGCTAAGAATGGTTATATTTATCACAACAGGGTTAAGTCATATCTGTATGTACGCACATTCAAGAAGCTTTCTGAGACAGACTGATGTAGACAACTTGATGTATCAAAAAAAAATGAAAACCCCAAAACACACCAACACAAACACACCTGAACTCTAGAACTTCAATGGTAAAGTATTTCCTAGGGATTTATTAAGTCCTTTTATTTTGTTACACAGATGGAACCATGCAGGGAAACTAGGCACAGTCAAGGTCAAAACAGTGCTATCTGTGCGATGAGCAAAGTGGCAAACATGCGGCAAGCATACCTCTTCCTCCTTGTTTCTGGATTTCCTTCCTCTTGCAGAAAAAGGCCTGCCTCCATAGATATCTGCCACGTTTTGCAGTGTACCCTGTTTGCCATTTAATGGTATCAAATTTAAGGTGGCTGGAGCAGTAAAACTACCTGCTTTATCCAACAACTGTTCACTTATAAGAAACCAAATCGATCAAATCATACAAGATGGAAAGCAGTATTTTCCATATTCACCTTTTTAGAAAGTATTTGGGTTTACTTTTTATTTTTAATGCATGTTCCTGAGTTTCACAAAAGCTAACTAGCACTGCTGAGGTCAACTTCATTTTAGCATTCAAGTTGGTTTAGGTATTTTCATCAAACTGATAGAGATTTATATCACTGCTCTTAAAAAGAAAGAAACTGGAAGATTTTGGGTTTTTTTTTGGAATTGATTTTCTTTCTGTAGATTGTAAACTTTTACTCATCTGCCTATATTAAAAGTTTTCAAATACCAAGACTCCATGTCTTGCAATGCCACACAGCTACAGTGAATAGCAAATTTAATCACCAGCTGTCTCAAGAATAGATGACTGAAAGTATCATTAACTCAACTGAGTCAAACTTTAGACTGCCACTTGAAAATTAAAATTGATAGTAACTATATTCAACAGAAGCAGGGTAGCTCAGTGCAAGTCATTTGACTTACATGTCTTTTTACAACAAAGAGCTGCATATTAATTGATGATTACTACTAATTTCTCCTGTCAGATCATCACTGTCTGGGCAATAGGCCCATCCCTACATGAAACTACTGCCAACTAGTCAAACCATTTTCCTGCACAAATAGAATGAAGTTGCTAAGAACTTCTGCTATCAATGACAAATGACAGTACATGAATTTGGAACCCTGGCTACCAGCTGTGTCAAACATCTGGAATTCACAACTGGTCAGTAAGCTCCCTGTTTTATTACAGCAGCCAGGTAAAACTAAAACATGTGGGCTCAGTTGGATATATTGGAGAAACACAAGAAACATTAACCTGAATACTTGAGTATCTTGCATTAATCCATCTTGTACATTTATATTCATGCCAACAAAGTCAAGAACAAAATGGAAGCAGGTACTACTAAGGACTCACCTAACAAGGCAGTCTTTAAAAGAATTGTTTATTTTTTCAAATTTACTGGTATTGGAAGTTTAAAAAAAAGAAACAGAACCAGTTTTGAAGTGGAAGATTCATTCTTTGCAACATCTATACTATTATCAGAATGTTTCACCATCAAAGCAGTGAATCAAAGTATCTAAGAATTGCTTACTGTAAGTGAAATAATCCCTGAAACAAATACCTGGCTGTAAATCATGATCCGATACTCAGATATAACTCAGAAGATACTACTATACATCTGAGGTTGGTCTCATCTCACTGGAATGCCGCCAGCATTGTCAGTTTAATTTCAGCGACTAACAGTGGTATTACTACTGCGTTCTATAAGAACAGTGTGGAGAAGCACTCAAAAAGCAGAACTCTCTACATTAACAAAACACCCAGTTAAACCACACAAAGTCCTAGTGCGAATGAGTCATTTCCAAGATATTTTTTCTGCAAAACAAACTTCCTAAAGGAATACTGAATTTAGAATTGCAAGCACAAGAAAAAAGAACATTTTGTGACACTGTCCACTAGCTAATCTCTAGAGTACGGGTTTTAGAAATATCAACCTTGATAAAGATGTGTGTCTTTATACCTTCTTAATTAGCAGAAGGTTTTTGTAGAACACACTAATGCATCAGTTTAATCAAAATTCATTTTAGGTTCAAGCTACTGAATGATACATGAAGTTTAATTTTAATCAAAACTTTAAAGCTATGAACAGAAAAAAAAGTAAATGACTTTCTAAAATTCACAATATCAAGTTAGACACATGCAAACCCAAAGTAATTTCCTTTCTTAGTAAGTTTACAGTAATGAGAAATGTACTGCATAGTAACATTTTAATAAAATCAGTAACAATGCAAAAAAACTTACCTCCCATTATTTTATATTTAATACTTAAAGAAACTATTTAGTCAGCATTTTATAGTTATTATGCTACTTCAAAGATTCATAAAGCATGCTGAAACAGTAATACATATAGAAAGACCGGATTCCATACCATATGTCCCTCAGCTCGAGCTTTGTTTTCCATGGCTTCTCTCTTTCGTTGCCAGAATTCTTCAACTTGCTTTGCTCTATCTGCAGCTATCCATCCTTTATGCCTGAGTAATTACAACACATAGCAAGATGAAAGGCTATGAAATACAAGACTCAACCCCCACCAGCATTTATTCTAACTAGGACACACACAAAAAAAGAGTAACTTTCTATAAGTAAGGCATCTTCAAAAAATGCCTTTCATCAGCCAAGATACAAGTCAGACTTCCACAAAATGGAGGAAAATAGGCTCAAATAAGTTAGAAGAACAATTTTAACAAACAAACAACATTATGTTATCCTTCTAGACCCTGGTCATCAAGCCCAAAACAAAAGCCAAACCACAATCTCAGTGTGATTATTTCTGAAAATGTCTCAGCTTGTTTCATTGTTGTCACCATTTGTGAAAAAAAGACTTACTTCTTCCAGGTTTCCTTCATCAACGAGCAAGAATTCATCACATGAACCAACCAGTAAGGTCAATACTACAGAAGTCTTTCAAGACTGACCTGTGTTTGGACTAAGGCTTCTAGCACTTAAATAATTAGTACATCACTAGTATTCTCAGAGTGTTCCAGCAACTCCCTGGGTGTGTGTGTGTGTGTAACTTGGAGGGATTTTTGTTTCTTTTTAAAGATATGGTGAAGGAATTTTCCAGCCTTAGAATGAACTAGAACAAGATGGCTTTTTATACATGTTCCACCCCAGGTCAAGGACCTGCTTGGCTAGACAAGAAGGCTATGTTCAAGTTACTGTAACTGAGCATCTGGCAAGTCTCCTAGTACATACATAGGATTGTTCTGTAGATGAAGCAGTTTCTGACAATTTGGTTACAAGTGAACTCTGAGAAAGCTTTCTTATAAATAAATTAAAAAAAAAAAACCAACAAAAACAACAAAACCAAAACAAAAAGCAACAAAAAAATCCCAAACAAACAACACTGAAATTGTGTAAAATATTATAACAGATGGCAGAATGATGAGGCAATCCCCTTTCCAAAGTTCTCCCAGCCCTGTTTGACTGAGGGAGTCCAGTAACAGGCAGGAAGAAATTGGAATAAACTGATAACAATAACCTATCAGGCTGAGACAGTTAAAGAAAGAATTGTTTTGGAAAAAAGGAGCTATTGCTAGTAATTCATTAATGAATTAGCACACTAATTAGATATCCTTGCATCTTGTTTTTTCTCTGCCCTCATCACTCTCCCAAGCAACAAGGAAATGAAATGTCTTCATATGCTTCAATTCATTAAGAGGTAGATAGAGATAAAACTACTTTGATGAAATAGAACAAACACTGTAGCTCCTCCAAAAAGGCAAGATGATCCCTGTGGTGGTACTGGTAAAGAAACAAACACTTGATAATCTTTGTATTTGACTCACCACAAGATTTTTACTCTAACTGCATATGAGCTCAACTGTTGAATGCTGAAATCTGCCTGAACCCACATCATAATAGCTGAAGTTTAGCTTACAGTTTCAGGAGAGGTGCATCCAAAGCAAAACTACCCAAACCTATTTCTCTCAAACCAAATTCACAGGAAAAACTTATTTCAACTAAATTTTATGAAAATGGTTTTCTCTACTCTGAAGCTGAGTGACTTGTTTTGCTAAAACATTTCGAGTAGATTTCTTCTGGGCTGCATTTCTGTCCGAGACACATTTTTTTTAAGATTGCTGATGTTGAATATACATAGCTCTACAGCAGAAAGATTGCAACTTGAGGATTTCTCCACTTCTTTAACATACACTCTAAATTACTTCACCTTAACAAAGTTGCAGTTATTTATATTCTGTGAGCTAAACACCCTGAATGCTTATCTTCGTATTTCATCTCTAGCTGAAAGAATAAAATGCAGGAGGGAAGTACTACTAATGTAGCTGTAAGAATGAAATGGCTTCTAGATAATGATAAAGTACAAATACCACATTTTGAATGCTAAGAAACAGCACCTCAATTTAAGACTAAACGTAATCCAGTTTATAAATAGAAGAAAAAATAAAAAATAAAATTGCGGCACTTTGCGCCAAGCACTGAGAATAAATAGAGAAGGATGGAAATAGGCATTTACATCAGCTGGTAAAATACACCTTCCAGTACTGGGTTTTACCAGGAAGAATTTTAATTAGCTCACAAGAGCCCAAATGACTAGAAAAAACAAAATATACCTTGTAGCTTGCAAAACTGTAACACTGGTGTTAAACGTGTTATTGCCATAAATTTTAAAATAGAAAAATATCTACAAAGGCAAAATATATCATATTAAAACATAAAACTGAATAAAATTAGTTTAGAAGAATAAACATTTTCTTTGGCCACTTCCTTTTCTTAATATTATCTCCATCTATTTCTTCCTACATAGCATACATCATTGGATTTTCAGAAGTTTAAATAATGCATGAGAAAATTTGCCCCTCTAAGAAAGTTAGTAACACTCATGAATTAAACCTCTAGAAAAAAATATATTTTCCCATTTACTGATCACAAGTGCAGACACAGTTCTTTGGGCAATTATTAATAGATTCGGAGAAGGCCAAAGAAATTTTGAAGAAGCTACTTAAAAAAATGAAATAATTAAAAAAAACAAAACAAAAACAACCCAGTGCTCATTTGCTACCCTTTTATATATAAAATACTCAGTTTATAGTAACTACAAAGAAGAAGCATCACCAAATTGGAAGCTGCACCCCACTCTAACACTTTACATTCGCATCTCAATGAGGAAAACTCTTAGGAGTTTTCTACTGATAAATAAGCAGTACCTAAGAATTCCACGAGCATTCTAGACACTCTTCTGTGCTAGACAGTCAAACACTTAGATGAAGAGAAGGCAGTTAGCATGAGATGGAAGCATCTTAGCAGGTAACACAAAAAGTGGAACTATGAAAAAAGCAAAGGAGGAGGCTTATGATGCTATGCGCAACTGCATTAGGCCAAGAATTCTGGCTGAGATCCAGCTTAGTTACAGTTTATTACTGTACTGAACTACTCCATATTCTTACACATTTCCATTACTGAGGAAGCCAAGGTTTCCATTGGTTCTAGAAGAACTGCAGTCTGCAGGGGACTAACACACAAACAGACAGCACAGTACCAATGGCTAAAAGTAATTTTGAAACATGTCCGACTAAATGAAACAAGACACAGAACAAGAATCTAACACATAGGGACATATGGATTATCACAGTCCAACCTGTTTGCATTGGCTTGTTTAGACACCTCCTTCAATCTTTTCATTTTTTTCCTAACTGCACCAGCATCAGGTAAATGGTGATGACCTGCAGGCCCCTTAGGAACTCCTGGACGTATTCCAGGTGGAATTCCTCTGTAGATAAATATGTACAGCAACTTTCATTACTTTCATCTGAAGCAGACCACATGCAACTTCCAATGGAATGTAGCCATACCTCTCAAAAACTTCCCGGCCTTGTAGTCTTGCCCTCAATTTGGCTTCCCTCACTTCAGCTACTCTAATGTTTTCGTGTTGTTGTTGCAGCTGATCAAAAATAGCATGATAGTGTTCATACTGTCCTCTGGAAGACACAGGAGACGGACCAACACCACCTCCACCGCCATAATATGGTGCCTGGAAATCAAAAGGGTAGGGTGGAAATCTCAAATACTGGTTTTAACAAGCCCTTCCAATTTTCAATTCATCAGCAGAATAAAAACATTAACAAGTTCTGCAACAAAACCCCATTTTTTTCCAAAAAGTTGGAAACAGTTAAGCACAGTTGGCAAGTGGCATTAAGTGCAGATTTACCTGAGGATCACCATCATTACCAACCTATAATTTGGTTTTATCACCAGAATTAAGATGTTTCATGCAAATTATCTGTCATGCTCAAAGAATTAGAATTCCTACAGAATCTTCATGTGAAAATAATAAAAAACATGTTGCAAGCAGCTGCGTAGAGTAGTAGCCAAGGATGGATGCAGAAAATGTGAAACTGGCAAAATAAGGTTAAGGTTGTCAGCACATGCATAAAATTGTTTCCTTTACACCAGAAGGAAGTGGTCAAATATCCCATGGTAGTGAATCTATGGAATCTTTTTGAACAATAGTGTCAATGTTCCTTCCAGTGTGTTCTAAAGTATTTTAAATAAATTCAAGCATGTGAGTGCACATGCAACAGGTTTACAATTGCCTACTTAGAAGTTCCTGAACAGATTATACTTGAGAGTGGAATCTAGCTCACGTTCTGAGTTTCAGTTGCTCAACACCCATCAATAGCTCTCTATGATACATATAATAGACATACAACTGTTTTCAGGAACATGCATAGCTCTCATCCAAATGTGACAATGCTCATCTACTTGTGTTGTATGGAAGCTTGTATTGGTGCCTGACAGTTTTATCCTGAAAAAGAGAAGGAGGGCATAGGAACCAAATGACAGGTTTTGACTTTTCCATTAAGTCAGTACCTGGTAGTCTTTAAAGTCTGGTACGCTTAAGTCTGCTTTTAACTATGCTTTATTATGTGATGTGTTGTACACATCTAAAGATGATGTCTATTTTGAAATAATATATTTAATAAGCAACTACTGAAACATGATCAATGTAATCTTCATATTCTTGTGCAACAAACAGAAAATAAAACATCTATTCACGTTGACTCTATTGCTCAGAGATTTTTTACAAAAGCCCTACTAAACCTGCGAAGGCCAACTATTTTTGTAAGGCTCCCTACCACCACAACAAAAAGCTGTGTTTTAATCCTTTTTCTGTTGTCAGACAGATTTACACAGCAATACTTGCAATTCCTGCACTGGCTCTGTCTGATGAAAGTACTCAGACCTTTATGTTCAACTAACTTCGGGAGACAGAACAGTTACATTCCCATGAAACTATGACATACATGAACAGGCAACAAAAGAAACTGTCATAGGAGTCAGATGCACATTATCTACATTATGTAGTAAGTGAACAGCTAAAGAGTTCACTGCTTTCAGAAAACACATCTCGTCCTCAGCACGCCCCCCCCATCAACTTGTGTTGCTAAATAACAAAGAATGCTTAGAAGCAGGTGTTTAATACTGGAGACGATTATCATAAGATGAGAACCTGGAAAAAGATTTCAACAAAAGAATTCAAGAGCAAACTTGAATGTGAAAAAAGCTGTTCATGCACAGATTGAGCACAGGAAAAGTAGCAAAAGCAGAAGTGGACAAAAGAAAGTGGTGAATGAAAACCATTACTGACAGAAAGGTAAGAGATTCATAAATTTAGTAAGTATTTGAAATGAAAATTGCACATTATCTCCAAAAAGCCAGGGAAGAGAATCTTGTTATACAGTTTCTCTTAAATTATCCACAGATTAATAATGGGCAGACCCAAGAGTTGACCTCCAAGAGCAGATCTTTCTGAAAAGAGAAGACCATGCCAGATAACCAAAGGTGGGGGGATCAGACTACACCACATTTCTGCATCTGCTGCCAACCTTAACATCACCACTTCCACCTGAACCAAGCACATTCCTCCATCCTTGTTCCCTGGCTCTGTTTATTCGTTCCATCTGAAGAAGAAAACAATACAGGAAAACAAAATTCAAGGAATCACTAGGTAAAAATTGAACTTCACTATTAACACATTTTAAACATTTTTTACCCTTTCTTTTTCTGATCTTCTCATTTCATCTGCCTTCAGTAAACTGATCTGCAATGTGTAAGGATTAAACATTTTAGTAACTGGGAAATTGAACTACTCCATATTCTTACACAACAGATAACACACCACACCACAAGGTATTTCATTAAAATTACTATGGGTGGAAAAAGAAAGTTTCAAGAATATTGTCTACCTGATCTCTCTGGCGCTTTTCTTTTTCAGGCAATTCCAACCTTTTCTTTTTTGAAGGTTCCTGAAAAATAAGCATATAATTTGGTATTTATTACTGAGCCATGATCTGTCAAATCTCTATCAAGATAGGTTAGCGCTCCAACTGCTGGTATATGTCCATGAAGATTAAGAAAAGTACAGTTACATAATGTTTGGAAAAGATAGATAAGGAGGAAAGGTTTGAAGGTTTTACTTTGCCATTCTTGCTCTGGACTTAGCTTTTGCTTAGTTTGAAAATTAACACATAATTTCATGATACCTCAAACATTTTCCTCCTTTCTTCTCCTGGATTCATTTTCTTCACTGCAAAAGCCTGAATAAAAGGTGAAACTTCAAATTAGACAGCATGATGCCAGAATGCAAGAAAAACTGTCATCAGAAAAAATAAAATTGCATCTTAAACCCACAACTTAGTATGTCCAAAATGTGGTTTAAAATAATTACTCAGGAGGTTTTAAATGAAAAGGACTGTTAGGATATAGAAGTAAACGCTATTGTACTTGCTCATCCTCTACTAAAAGCTACGCCTCAAAAGCTGAAGGCAGTAATTTTTAACACTGTTTTGTCTTAATTTTTCTTCTCCACCAATACCATTCTGCATGACAATGTTTTCCCATTATAAGCCTTTGAAGGTCTCTAGATTTTAAGATTCTCTTATTTAAAGAACAGATTTATTACATTATCATTAGGCTCTTCCACTTGTGTAACTCTAATCAAAGTTCTCATTAGTTATGGAAGATGAGAATTCAGCCACTATTGAATACCTTATACAAAGAAGCAGCTATACATAATAAACCATGCTGCTTATTCTGATCTTCTCAAAACAGTGACAGTTAATATTATAACCCTTTTTTTTTTTTTTCCCCGACACAGAAACATGAAAAGTTTCATAATATTTTCTCCTGGCAACCTAAAATCCTATCAAATGAGTACTTTAAATATTTCAGAAGACAGAAGCCTTTAGAGACTTAAGTCAACATAGTTCAACTACAACAATTTAATATCACTAAATACAGGAGATGATCAATACATGCTCCTCTGAAAAGCCAGTTGAGAGCTGCAAGCTCAAACTACTCTAGAACAATAGCAAAGAGAAGAAAATTTATCACACCATAGCCATTATTTCTGTCCTGCATCTTATCCCTTGTCACTAGGTACCATCCACACATACTAGGTCTTAAAATTGCAGCACTACTGACTTCTCAGATGCAGCAAGAGGATATTTCCTCAGTCTCTATCCTGCCGCTTTGAGTCTCTGTGCAAGCTAGATCACTGTTGGCTAGTGATACTGATTATAAAGCGCAGCAGACTAGGAGACAGTTGCACAATCAAGCCTTAAAACATAAAAACCTCAGTCTCATAAACACACACAAGAATTCTGTTCCCTTCTTGCTTTTTCAAATTGTGTATCTGTCCTGGGTTCAGCAGTAGCAGTCATGTTTTTCCTTTGTGTTCGCTGGTACAGTGCTGTGTTTTGACTTCCAGCCTGAGAACAGTGTTGGTGAAGCCGATGTTTTCGGTTGTTGCTAAGTGATGTTTACCCTGACCAAGGACTTTGTGAGGCTCATGCTCTGCCAGGGAGGAGGGGAAGCCGGGAGGAAGCAGAGACCGGGGGCGCCTGATCGGGGCTAGCCAGGGAGGTATTCCATACCACAGCACGTCATGCCCGGGGTGAGGGGTAACTGGGAGTTACCTGGATGGACCCTGGCTTCCGGGTGGGACTTGTGTCTTGGCCGGTGGTATCGTATTCTCTTCCCTTGTTATTTTCCCTTATCATTGTTGTAGTTGATAGTAGCGGTGGTGATTTGTGTTGTACACTGGTTGCTGGACTGTTCTTGTCTCAACCCGTAGGAGTTGCACTCTTTCGATCCTCCTCCCCGTTCCTCCGGGAGCGGGGAAGGGGAGAGCCCCGATGGGGGGGGGGGGGACACGGACCTCGATTGTTGTCAGCTCGGCACCACTCACTGGGAGTGAGTGAACAAGTTACCTGACTGGGTTTAAACCACGACAGTATCACAAGCCAATAAAGCTTGCTGATCAATAAGCTTTTGCCTATACCTCCAATAATTTGTGAGCCTCAAGGGTAATTTATAACTCAAATTTTCTATCCACCTGTCAAATTTGACAGATGCACAGTGATCTTAGTATTATGTTGCTTGAAGTGCCATGGGGAGAAGGAGGAAAGAAGAGTTTTATATAATAAGTACCACAGAGAAAACTACAGCAAGAAAGATTGAAAATACCATATGAAGGTATACAGAAGACTATTTCTCATTAGCTTATGAAATTAAATCTGGGAAACTCCTCTTCCAATTACACAATTTGTCTGGCTGAAAATGACTAAAAAAGTTTTCTGTTTTTTTGAAAATGCAAAGATTCTTATCCAATGACCTTGGTATACCTGACAAGACTTTCCACATTTCTTGGAGTGGTCAACACCAACAAAGGAAATGAAAACATGCAAAGCACATCTAATTCAGCAGTGGAATTAAAACCCAAAGCTAAGGCAGCAGTATACGAAAATTATTCTATTAAAACCAACTAAACAAAACCAACCAACAAAAAACTCAGTAATAAAGCAAACCAAGCATTTGAACTACTACTACTTCTTCTGCAGATGCATGTCCCCACATAAAATACATTTTGAAAAGGAATACATAATATTTTCATATCATTTAAATAAGGTATAAGTAAAACAGTTTAAGTAATTTAGCTTCTTACCTGTCTAGATTTAGCCAATGGCTTCTTATCATTAGGCTTTTTAGGTACATCACAAGGCTTCCTCATCACTAAAGGCACTCCATATTTTGCAGCAGGTTTGGTAATTTTCTGAGCCGGTGCAACTGAAGCCAGTATTTGCTCTTGAGCTGGCCTTTTAGCTAAAATGAAAAGAAAACCAAAATAAAACAACAAACAAAAAATCCAACTCTCTTTTACAGCAATCCAGGCTAGCCAGTGTACCATATTTCCCTTTCCCAAGGTCTTGGAACAGCAAAGCTGAGGAAAATGTGCAAACTGCTAACATTTCATTCACATCAGCTGATGCATAAGTGCAATACACCCAGTTGCCCAAAACAGCTTACTTTCATGCTTGATAACAGCAAAACACAATTCCTGAGCCTTTCACTCTCAATACTTCAAACTAGAGAACTGAAGTTTATTTCAGCTTCCATGCTCTATCATACAGTTGTCATGGACACAGGGAAAAGTTTTCCTAATAGAATGGAGGGACAGGCTCCCCACCACTAACAACACTAGACTACAACACTAATGTCAGCAGAAGATGAGTTCTGGAAGAGCTTCAGTGGCTTTCAGGGATAAAGTTTTCCCTGTAGAGTTCCTGAAAATATGCAATATTGTGGATTTGATTCTGTGTTAGCAGGGCTCTCTTACTACAGAATGTAATGACAGCAGTGAAACACAGAACGTTGTTAAAAGACACCAAAGCACTTGCCACAGCTTCAAGTAATTATGAGGAAATAAAATAAAAAAAGTGGAAAAAATCCAGGAAAAGTAGGGTAAACTAATGCAGGAAAATGAAGCAAGGTAAAACTATATTGACAAAACAAACCGCTATCTAATTTCCTACCAGTAGCAGAAATTCTACTGCTTTGGTCTGAAGTCAGGGCTTAATCCAGGAATCTCTAACAAAACCTCTCACCTTTTTAGAGGAAATGGTATTTCTCATCACCCATTTCTCATTACTAAGTGGAAAAAATGCTCAACAGCAAGACATAAATTTTTTTATGTATTTGTAGTCTTCACTGTCCCCTTAAACTCTGGAAGCATAGCATACTGCAAGAGGAAAAAGCTCAACTATAACAGTACAGGACCATAGTTATCATTTGTACCCTACATACACCCAGCTCCCCAAGGGAGGGAGGTAAATTGCTTCTCTCTCTTTCTTCCTGAAACTTCTAGGATCAGGTATAAGAACACACCAAAACCACAAGTAAAAACAAAACCACATACACTGTCTTGCCAGTGCTGAAAGCAAAAGCACTTTATACACTTACTTACCTGGTGCAGCATGTTGGCCAAACTTCTGGAAGATTTTGTGACTGAATTCTTCTGCAATAAGCTAAACAAAGAACTGAAGTTGTTAGCCAGCAGTACTTATGGCTGAAGATAAGAAAAACACATTTTCAGAGAAATCTGCCACTCCCAGTAAGCATCTAATAGCATTTACTGTATCTTAACTTTAAATGAATACTCAACCTTATGTATTCAATTTAGTATCACAAACATGAATAGGAAGCTGGATTCAGTGTTTTCAAACATTTTTGGTGCATTTACCCAAATAATTGAAAAACTGATTTAGTCTGACTTCTAGCTGGTGTGTTACCTCATTTATGAGCTAGCTAAGAATCTAGAAGAAAGTTAATGTATCAACATAGCTTTATGCATAGTATATTTTAGATTTCTGTATAGTTGCCAAAGTTCAATTTCTCAGTTAGCTTGTGTCAAAAAGCAGTCCTTTAAAAATGTTTGCAGTTTATAAGTTTCTCTATCCTTTTCAAGATGGGAAGTTGTCTATAGAGATATCCAAGAACAACAGATAGGGCATGCTATCAGGCATATCGAAACAGCATAATAAAGTGTGGAAAACAGCCTTACTTGAAGTCTAGACAAAGACCAAACATTAACAGGCCATCATCTCAAATACTGTAGGCAGTTCTGAACGCAATACCTCAAGAGTATCATTCTCAAGAGTTTCATTTCTCAAGCAGAAATGAAAAAGGCTCAAACATAATTAAAAGTGTTGAAAAGATGCAGTAAAATAATAACCAACCTACAAAAAGATGACTGAGATGCAATGTGACAGGTCTAGAATGCCACATGTGATTTTGCAGAGAAACACACAAGGACAGCAAATGATAATACCATTATAAGTGTGGTATGACTGAATATAAGGAGGAAGGTTTAGAATAAAACAAAGTTGATGCTTTCTGCAACATGTAGCAGACCTGTGAAATTTCTTACTGATCCAACTATATATGGCTGTTTTGTGAAATCACTTCAGTTTTGAGTTAGAATCCATTAGAATCCTTTATGCTTAGTGAGGTCTGCTTTTGCATTCATTTCCTCCTTGATGTTTCTCTGTCTACATACGTAAATAATTTAAGATTTTTCTTTACAGTTCATAGTAAAACTCTTTCCTCAACCGAAAGCATCCCTATAAAAGTTCTTGGGAATACCATTACTCCAATTTCTTATGTTGTATGTTAATATTAGAATAAAGAGAAGTCCTATGATGCCTTTAGCAAAACTAGAATTAAAACTAATTCCATACCTGTGGTGTGAGAAATTTTTCAACCCGTTTGGCTATAAAATTTTTCTCCAATATGGAGTTTACCGATGGTCTGTTCCTAGGATTCCTTTTAAATAACTGTGAGAGCAAATTACGTAGGTCATAGGAATAATGCGTAGAAACAGGAGGAAAAGGTCCAGATATTATCTTCAGTACCAAGTTCTTCATGTTACCAGCTTCAAACTGTATCATGCAAGAAAGAAAACAGTGACTGCATTTTACTTACTGTCTGTCCAAACACAAGCCTGTATATAAAGATGATGAGGAAAACAAAACCGAAAAGGTATGTTTGCCTCAATATGCCAAAACAAATTTTGAAGGCTATGTACAGTTTATATCAGCCGTTTAAAATAACCTGCTGCCAAGTATTCCAATTCAAAATACATCATAATAGATATGCCATTGAGATATACTTTTTGCTAACAAATAAATATTTCCCTTCAGATCTAGACTGACAATGATATGTAATTAAGAATACAATAATTGTATCATTCTCTGCTTGATCTCCTCTCCCAAAAAACTTTCAACCATCACATGCCTTCTGACCTTTTCAGAAGCCATGTTTCAAATGAAAGAATGTAGAGCATTAACATTCATTCAGTGTAAAACCCAAAGGAATCCAAACAGAGCACACCATTTCTATTTTTATTGACAATAAAAACAGTGCGTATCACCCAGCTCACAAAAAACAACCTACAGCCATCAACTCACAGAAAGGAAACACTGTTAGCATTGCTGCCACAGAAAAGAGCAAGCAATAAGAAATTATGTAAGTTAGACATTAAATCCCTCCTGATTCTCATGTCATTATAATCTTTTTTCTTTTAATAAAAATACCCTTCCCAAAAAAACCCTGAAACAAAACATTAAAAAAAAATAATTTTTTTTTTCTTTCCTTCCTAACTGGAAAATGTATGATAAAGATATAGTCTTCAAAACAACACATACACAGAGGAAAAAGAAATGAAAACCAAACAAAAGCCAACCCTCCGAGCTTGGGATATTGTCTAAGAAATAGTTCTGTTCTAAACAGAAATGCATTAATCCACCTGCACAAAAGCTGACAGTCCAAATTCAGATTTCCAATGAAAATGTCAACTTTCTTAAAAGAAAGGAACACCATCCACAGTATCACTTATTACAATACCAAACAACTTACTCAGCTAATACAGTTCATTAAAAACCTACAATCATGAACAAAATATACAATGCTAAGATTTCTGAACAGATCAGTGTAAACCAAAACAGAGACGGAAAATGCTGGTCAGTATAGGAAGAGGAGATAGAAATGCTGAAGGTTATTTTAAACAGCCACCACAAAAGGCTTTCATTAACTGACATACATTTGCATAATACCAGGAAAATATATTCTGTTTGAAATCAAGAAGTTTCTACTCACCGCATGTTTAAGTGTGCACATTTCATACAGAACACAACCAAGGGCCCAGATATCACTAAATCAAGAAGAGAATGTATCCTAAGAATTAGTTGTGGGTATAATACTGCCAAGCAACTTATACCTGTGAAGTCTATCTTTGAAACGGAAAAGGTTGCATTTTGGGTACGCAAAATCTCCTCTGTACATACATCTTCCATCCCCCAAACAAAAAAAGAATTCAACCACCAAAAATAAGGCCAACTGAAAACCAGCTGAGGATATTCTGGCTTCAGATTTCACTTAGGCCTTTTCATCTGAATTAAATGAAAAACCCAAACAAAACTCACCACCTAATTCAGCAAATGCAATTCTCAAAGTCAATTTACTGTTTAACACTGACTTACTTTATCCTCACTCATTACAGGATTACAGAATTTGGTTAGAATGCAATTGGATAATAAATCCCATGAAGAAAAAAAAGGGGCAAGGAACTGTAGTTTTTATCTCTTAAGAAACCAACTGAAATTAGTCTAAGTCACTCACAGCAATAGATGCAGCAACTTAGTAGAGTGTAAGGCTAACTTGATAATGACCATTTTAATTACATTAAAATGTAAGGGACACTGTTACCAGATATAGCCTACTGCCAGGACAGCAAACATAAGCAAGGAATCAGTATGACTTTGTTACCTGAAGCAAGCTGAGTCGCCTATCTATGCACACGCTTAGAGAATCCAATTACTGTGTTTGTGATTTCATCCATAACAGTCTCACATTCGTACTACATAAATTAAGGCAGCACAAATAGCTAGGCAAAAGTAGAGCCATAATTAAAAACATGGCTAGATCTAGAACTCAAAGCATTAAGCTAAGTCATCTCTGCATCACACTGCTTTGCACTGCACATACCTACTAAGGTCCCTCTTGTGTAATGAGTCTTGGTACCTTCTTGGCTAAGAGATGAACTAACAACTGTTCATCATCATAAAACAGCTTCTCATTTCTAGAACTCACTTTCTTCTCCTGACCAAAAACGTTTCATTAAATGCTTATTAGTACCTTTTATTGTTGTAAGGCTTGTTCTGACATATTTCAGGAGACAAATAGTATGGTGTTCCTATGCAAGTGCGAGCCAGCTCTGCAGTACTAAAAAAAGTAAGAATGAATGTTAACTAGTTAACTCACGTGATGTGCACAGATCAAAGCAATTTAAATTAAATCAGAGAAAACTGCATTGAAAATGAGTTACCTGTTAAGAACTCTGGCGATCCCAAAATCTCCCAGTTGTATTGTTCCATCTTTGGTTAAAAATATATTCTTGATATACAAATTTTAAGAAGAATTAAAACATTCATACAATTACACGCTTTTTGATCTCAATATGTTTTGGAAAGCATAAAGTTTTCTACTATTCAATCACTCTGAAGTCACTAGTAGTAGTAGTGTTACTGCCTACTGTGAACCACCAGACTTACTCAAGTCCTACTTGATCAAAATTAAAGAAAACACTTACACTAAACACTGTTCTAACACATGACCTCTTCTGTCCCCACACAGAAACATGAATAACATTCATGCAGCTTCATCAAATAGCCACATCCATTTTTTCATATTGTATATTTATATATCATATAAACCTCCTCCAGATAATTCTGAAGAAAAAAAGTGTTTCCAGTGTTAGAAGTGTTTACGTTAAAAGACTATTTTCCATAATTTGCCACCTTATACTAGCAAGATACGAATGTAATCACTTTGAAAGTAAATTCAATTTAAAAAAAAGTTACCCACATACCTGTGACTTTATGTCCCGATGCAAGATTTTTCTATCATGTATGTGCTTTAGTGCTAAGCAGATTTGTACAAACCAATCTAGAATCTACACATAAAAGAAAAGGCAACATCAGCATATTTATTTGAAAACTTCCCCAGTTACATAAAAATTTTATAAAATCAGTTTTATAACTCAAGATTTTACCCTCTTCCCACAAACCTGTCTTTATTTATACCACAGAATAATTAAAAATGTAAAAGTACTGTCACTACAATGCAAACATTTTAATGAAAGGTGCATATTACTAAAATTAGATATTTAGTCTGAGGCTACTAGTTTCATTACATATTATAAGCCTAACAAAAATTTGCAATACGAATTTAATTGACTAAAATGTTTAAAACTTCGAATTTGCATCTTAAACATTGTACTTTTTGCTGCAACCATTACAACAAGCCTTGTTGCAGTCAGCTAATCAACAATTTTAGAAAGCCATGCTGATGTTTACAGCAACACTTATTTTATCATACAATAATTTTAAGTATTCCACCTTTTGAAAAAAGGTACAAAGCAGATTTCAATGAGAAAAGCAACAAACAACATGTAATTAGAATATTATAAACGAGCCAAAATTCTCCTTTTTATTTTTGTAAATCTGTAGAAAACACAATACAGAAGTGACCAACGGCAAGAACTTTTCCATGTGCATACTGGTTTCACATTCTCAGCTTAGAAGTACACACATGTCAAAACTACAGTAAAATGCAAGATGTAATTGTCACTTTTCCACTTTAAGGTATTCCTGTAAAAGTGAGTCCAAATTGGAATTAAAAAAAAAAAAAAAAAGGTATCCTACATAATCTATTTTCACTTCACCAAAAACAAAACTGCACATAAAAACTTCTTATTTATTCCAAATTAAATTCTTCCACAGTACAAATGATTTTATACCCAGAATTGTAGAAAATCTGCTGGTCTACTTACAATATTAATTTTTTTCCTAATGGAAAAATAAACTTTTGAATCATGTCAACTTCATATTGCCATATTTAATATTATTATAGTTCTGATAAATGAAAATCAGTATTACAAATATTTTAAAAAAATATTAATTTTAAAAGTTTTAAAAATAATTATGGTGTCCTTCAGTATTTTTCATTTCTCAGATTTGGTTTACTTTGCAAGAGATCCAACTTTTTTTGGAGCATCTTACACACAGAAAAGCCCAAATAACATACCTATAATTTTCAGCTCCATTCCCCTCCCACCCTTTAAGAGACTACTTTGACCAACGGCAACAACAATCATATTTCAGAACCTCCTTTTAGATTAACCAACCATATCTACCAAACTGAACCAAAACAATTGAAAACTTACGAAAAATTATCATTCACCAAAACACTACAGCAGCAGTTTGCTGTTACCTGATCTTCAGAGAATAAGATTCCTTTCTGGGCATTTATTTTTTTAAATAGGTCTCCTCCTTCACAGTAATCCATCACTATGTAGAGACAGCCATTTTCTGTAAAATAAAACACAAACTACTTAAAAAACTCCCCAAAAACCCACCAAACAAAAAAAAACCCAACCAAACAAACAAAAGCAAACCACAAAAAAAACCTACAACAAGCTTTAACATAACTCTCCTAATATCTTCTTTGCAGTCACAGAAAAGCCATCAAAAATTAACCTTTTCACGTGCAGCTTCAAATACCATTTATTAGTCTCTTTTTTTTCTAACTTGAAGCAAAAATGCTTTTATTATTCTGAGTTGTAAAACAGAAGTTTCCCATTTCTAGCAACATCAGACTATTTTATTATGGAGAGAAGAAAAATGACATTTGCTGAACCAATGCTCACTATGAAATTAAATATGTCACTGACTGCAATATAAACCCATTCTTTTTGTGCTTTCAAACATCCCATAGATTCCCCACCCTAGAGATCTTAACTTCCAATTTAGATATCTGCTTCTATTTGCCTAATTCTTTCTTGGGAGTTTTACCTGGACAAGGTACTACTACTCATACTAAGTGCAAAAACATGGCAATCATCAACACTCACACGAGACATACAGCTCATTTCACAGTTAAACTTCCAGCAGACAGTGACAGATGGAAACAATTGTCATTTTTGAGTGAAATTTGGAGAGACTTCCAAAAGTCCTATGCAAGCTTCCACTAGGAGGTATGAATATATATATATTTAATTCAAAGTTACAGCTTTGCTCTCCAATGCAATCTTTTCCAGTCACCGATGAAAAAGAAAGATTAGGCAGAAGCAATTTGCAAGTTAGCAAAACCACAAGAACTACATTACTCACATGTTAGGAATGATTTTGAGAAGAGCTAAATAAATACATAAATCAATCAATTCTGGTACTCAAAAGAAAAAACTCTTATGAGCTCGCAATAGCACTTAAAAAACCTAAATAGATGATGTAATTAATTTTAACTCTAAGTCACTTAAAACACACTCCCACAGGATGCTTCTGAAATTGTTTTTCAAAAACAGCAAACCCAGGATTTTTCTTTTTTTTTGTTTACAGTGGTTTTTATCTTGGTTAAGCTTTGTAATTGGTATTATTTTAAAAAACAGGAGCCTGGATTTCTTGCAGACCTGTTGCTGAAATAATTCTCATTTATAAACCATATCAGCATGTTCAAAGTCAAAGTGCTTTAGCAATAAAGATCCAACATGAAGTCTTGTGAACTACAGATTACAGGATCTACCTTGTAAGAACAACAAAGAAAAGAAAAAGGCAGTCTTAAAGAACATAGTTTTATTAAAGAAAAGACAGAAGAGTGAATTTATAAAGCAGAAGACTCTGGTTGTGCAATAAAACTATGGCATCAAATTCTAATTTAATAAGTAGAAAAAACAAACAAACAAACAAAACCCAAAAGCCTCCAAAAGACATAAGAAAGTCAGCAGAAAAGAAGGAAAGCAGTGTTCCTGAACAGTATTTCAAGTAATAGGGTTTTGAATAATATTTTAACTTATATGATAGGTTGTTTGAGTATTTTATCTGTTCTGTTCATTTCCACAGACATTCACAGTGAAACCAACGTGGGATTATGTTTCTCCTTCCTTCATAGCTTGATGAAATAAAGTCACATCTATTCTTCCAGCTCTGAAAGCAGCAATATGATTACAATTACTGAAGACTGCATTCTAAGATATCAGACTTTGATATAAAATCACTTTTGCTAGGTTATCAATACCCAAATTCAGATTGTACTCATATTTAACACACACAAGCATTCAAGCTGTTAGGATCTACACAAGGAGACTTACACTGTGGAGAAACAAGACATCATAACCCTTTCATTAAAGCATCAACCAAAACTGATGCATGTAAGGAAGAGGCATGAAAATTTCTGTTTAATTGTTGCAGTTTTAAAAAAAACTACAATTACTTTAAACTGTGCAGGGGAATTGTGGAAAAAAAACCCAAACCAATTCAAAGGAACCAAGTAATGGAAGTATTAAAAAGACTGATTAAAGAGAAAACACATTAAATACAATAAGTAGTGCACAAACAGTCGCTATCGTTACTTCACATTCTAATGTGTTAATTAACCTTACCTTCAAATGACTCCCTGTACAGGACAATATTTGGATGTTTCATGTTAGCCAATACAGCGACTTCTCTCCTTGATTCTTCTCTCTCCTTATTTGACATCTACAGAAGGAAAATAATGATTTTCTCAGAAAAGAAATGAAAAAAAAAAAAAGAGGAATTAACAATAATCACTCACCTTTGAGATGTTAATTTCTTTAATAACATACTGTTGGCCATTTTCTTTAGCTTTGACAAGAAATGCTTTCCCAAAAGATCCTTCTCCAATTTTTCGAACTTTAATATACTTATCCATAGTTATCTTCTTAAGGCACTCTTTCTTGGGTACTAGGAAAAAAAAAACCACAGAACATATTTGGTTAGCTGTACTTAAGTCACCTAGCCTGCTAGGTCATGGTATATTCAAACCATTTGTCTCTTCAGTTGCATCACATGCTTTGCAGCTTTTCTCTAAACCGTCTACTCTTGTTCTTAATTTTATTTTGGTACAGTTGGCTCACCTGGTGTAGAAAAAAGGCTGCACTGATAAAACCAGCAACCAGGTTTAATCTTTCAACTTGACACATTATAAAGTAAAAAAAAAAAGTGTTTTATCTTTCAAAAAGGCACACAGTCAGTGCCATAACTTCTGATTCAGCTAGCACACAATCATCATCAGAGCTATTGCACCGCGTTAACAATCTTTCATTTGCCTTTACTTGGAAGAACTACAACAGTGTGTGTGTGGAATCCCTACACGTTGTTTCTTAAGAAGCACTAGATCTTTTATTTTGGAAGTTAGTCATGATAATGAAGCCAAAAAATGGACTGAATTCAAGAGACCCCCCCCTTTAGCTTAAAATCATTATTTAACATGTGACCTTAATTCTGACTGGAAACAGGTATTTTTGCCTCCAAGTACAGAAAGATAGTGTAAAGTTGCACATACTCAGTATTAACAGCAATATTATGTTTAGGGCAATGCTTAAACTAGCAGGCAGGACGTAATTTTAACTTCACATGACTTTACTACATTCTCTCTCTATCCCTGGCTTATTTATGACACAACCTATGCAGCCAAGCCAGCTGCATTAGGCATAGCTTTGGGCTCCTACTACACGCTATTTTCTTCAAATACAAACCATCGATAAGCAGCCTATGGGCGAGAAGGTACAGTTCAAAGAGGGTTTACAATTTTGTGCGAGTTAGATGGCCTCTTTTTAACCGTGGCATGGGAAATACGAATCTTGAAAAAGGACATCAGCGCTGATAGGGCGTTGGCTTTTCCAGCCCTGGGCAGAAGTCATTTTGTCTGTCACCGACACGCAGAAGAGCGGCTTGTGCGCCGGGGCGTAAGTCATACCCCAAGACAACCCGACCACTAAACACGAAGAAAACAGGGCCATAAACCCGAACCACACGGCCAAGCCGCAACTGGGCAGAAGGAAAGCAGTACGGCACAGCGCTAGCCAGCCCCAGCCCGGCGGCAAGAGAGGCCTCAGCCGGGCCCCGCCAGGCCGCCACCCCTACACAACTGGGCAAGACTACCACCAGGGCAACAAACCAGAGCCACCCTGCCCCAGGGCGACCGAGAGTGAAGACCCGCCACCTGTTTGGCCCCACGACCCCCTCCCCACTCCTGCCATACCTCCCTACTGCACCCGACCAGCGCTGCCACGGCCGCTCAGCCAAGACTCACACCCGCCGCGGACCCGCCCCCTCAGGTCTCATTGGTGGGCCGGCCCCACAGCTCAGCCCCCATTGGCAGACCTGCCCCGAGGCGGGGCAGCGGATCAGCCTGACCGCCCTTCCCGCGTTAGCGGCACGTCACCCTAGTAACGCGCCGCCACGAGCCAGGGGACGGGCGGGGTCTGCCGGCCGCCGCGCCACGAGGCGGGACGGGCGTCCAGCAGCGGTGTGAGTTCGCGTTCCAGGGGGAAAAACAGGAACAGCTGTAAACCTTTCCCGGGCCAGCCATGACCCACAAGACCGCGCAGCCTGGCTACAGCGGTACGTGTCTTCCCAGGGACCTCACCGGGGCGGGATGCCTGGGGGAGGCATTCAGGAGGGTCGGGGTGCTCAGGGCCCCTGTGGCTTCTCCGCTCCACAGAGTGCGGGTTAACGGCGTGTGCGAGTAACGGCTTGTGATTCACAACGAACCTTTTCGTTCTTACTCTGATTGTCTTCGTACGTCGCCCTGTGTGCACAGCAGGAAGCACTGTTCGGTTTTGTTAGAATAATAGAATGGTTTGGGTTGGAAAGGACCTTAAAGATCATCTAGTTCCAGTCCCCAACACTTTCCACTAGACCAGGTTGTGCAAAGCCCCATTCAGCCCGGCCGTGAACACTGCCAGGGATGGGGCAGCCACAGCTTCTCTGGGCAACCTCTGCCAGTGCCTCACCACCCTCATAGTGAAGAATTTCTTTCTAAACTCTAATCTAAATCTCCCCTCTCTCAATTTAAAGCCATTCCCCCTTGTCCTGTCACTACATGCTCTCTCGTAAAAAGCCTCTCTCCAGCTTTCTTGTAGGTCCACTTTAGGTACTGGAAGGCTGAAATAAGGTCTCCTCAGAGCCTTCTCTTCTCCAGACTGAACAATCCTAGCTCTCTCAGCCTGTTCCATACTAGAGGTGCTGCAGCCCTCTGAGCATCTTCACGGCCCTCCTCTGGACTTGCTCTCGTTGGCGCGCCGGGGGCCGAGCCGGTGTCCGCGGCGTCTCCGCCCCGCCGCGGCGGGAGGATGAGCCAGCGCCTCCCTGGGGAGCAGCAGGCGGCGCCGGCAGGACAGGTAGGGGCGGGGCGGGCTGGGCTGGGCTCGGTTAGGTTAGGTTTGACTTGGCTTTCGCCTTCTCGCGGCGTGACGAGAGGGGCCGCTGGTGGGCCCCTCGGTCACTGCCCGCTGCTGTCAGGGCGAGCGCGGCTGAGGTGGTGGCTCTGGCCCGACCCTGGTGGGATGGGGGGAGGAGAGGAGAGGAGAGGAGAGGAAAGGAGAAGGCAGCCCCCGCTGCACGGCCCGGCGGCGGACGGCTGTTGCGCTCTCGCAAGCGAGACCGCCTCGTCCTGCGGCCGGGAGGCGGGAAGGGTCAGAAATGGCGGTTCCTCGTGGACCCTCAGTATAATTTGCCCTCCTCCTCCGAAACGGGAAGTGCCGGGGTGAGGGGCAGTTCCCCGCAAGTTTACACAGCGTGTGGTCTCTTGTCACCCGATTTCGGTTCTCGTGTGTGGTAACTCTCATTCACGTAAACTGAGGTGCTCTGCAGCTTCGAAGATCCAGAGTCTCCTCATGTAAACAGTGTTAGAAGTAATAATTCAGCTCAAGCTGCTGCTTGCTTCGAGTTGGCTCACAGGTTTGGTTAGTAAGGCTGCTGTTATGCAAGGGAGGGAGGTAATGGGCTGCTCCTGGAGCCTCTTAATTAAATGAGAGGGTGCAGGTCAGCGAGATTGGAACTGAAGATTGAGTTTGTTCATGTTATCCTTTCTACTTATCCAGAATCCTTCCCTATCCGGAAACGTGAAACATACTGCAAACCAAATATGTATCAGTTCTCACCAAAAATGAACAGCTACAAGTGTGACAGTAGAAAATCACGTGAAATAATGTCGATTAGTAAATTTGCTGTGTCACACTTTAAAGTACTAAACTAGGTAAAACAAGGCCTTAAAACCAGCTTAAAACAAATTAGAAACATTTCTGGTGCTAAACTCTTAGAATATACACTAAAAAATATTTTTGGAAAAATATCCCTATAAGGTAGTCATTTGGGTTTTTGGACTTGTACCTCCTATTTAAGGTTATGGGACCTCAGAGGTTCATGGTGGAGAGTTTGTGAAAGAAATGAAGTTTGTTATTAAGTGTCAGGTGTATTGGTGCTTTTTGCTTTCAGATGCCTTTCTTGGTGGACCTGTGAAGGCATTTCTCTTCTGTATCCCTAGGCAACATAGATGCTGCTTTGCAAAAACATCTATTTGAGTGAAGGACGTGTTGGCATGACATATTTGAAAGCAGATAGTTACAAGTACTGTTTCTTTATTTAAGGTAACTTCAATATGCAGCAAAATAAAATTGAAAGAAGTGATTTGTGCATTATAGGAGACATACCTTTGTGAAGTAAAATAAGCCCTTAGAGAACTCGCCAACTGTCACTACTATTTTTCTTCAAAGATAAAGTCTTTTACTGGCTAACTGCTTTAGAGTTGATGTCTCTTTGATTGGCAAGCAGATGTAAACTTGATGCTCAGTACTTGTAGGTTGCCAAATGGAAAGCAGCTTTGCTCTGGGAAAGCTGCAGGTAGGTTGAAGCTCACAGCTTGAAAAAAATTTACTTTACATCTGTCTGCACCACCTGGGAAAATAAAAGGTGTATAGTGTCTAGAAAACTAGAGCTTGTTTATTCTTTGCTTCTGTTTAGTATTGGTGTGTCAGTCTTAAGAAATTCTTTGCCTGACAATAGTAGATGTCATGCGTAATGTGTATTGCAGTATTTCTACAAATATATTTTCCTTGTTCTATGATTCCTGAGGCTGTCTTTGCCCAAATCTTTACAGCATCCTCTCTGTGAGTGGTTTACAGTACCACTGTTCTCTCTCTGTATCCCTTCCATACTTGCAAGTTAAAATAATCTTGGGGTAAATCTCTTCTCTCTCTCGCTTAATATTGACTTGTAATAAGAACAAGCCTGTCCAAATCCTCAGCTGCGAAAGACACTTGAAGCTATTGGTCTTTGCTTTTCATCACTACATTGCTGTGAGCCTCTTTATGAGTATGCCTGCATCTTTCTTTTGTGACTGGACTTTCTGTTGTGTTCTCTTCCACGCATAATGTTTGTCACAAACTGGTGTTTCAGTAACCTGCAAGTGACAACGTGCTGTGCACTGCTTATTCTATGAACAGTTACATCTAGCTGCATAATATATATTCTCTCATTCACTGAATGTACACTTTGGCTTTTCTTTTTTTTTTTTCTCACACATTTTGCTTTGGGGGCTGTGTGTCTTAGCTTGGTATTTGAACAGTAAAGTTGCATTTTTTGAACGTAAGCACTAAAGCTGGGACAACTGTTCTGTGTTCACAGCCATTGCAGAAGGCATTCTAGGAACACTCAGATTTCCCCCTGCCTTATTTAAGTGACTTCATATGCATCTGGCTAGGTGTTACTGTGCAGATCAAGTTTTCAGGGTGAAGTTTTACAATAATTTGGCCATAGGAATGTTTTTAACTAGGTCACAATAAAAATGTTAAAAAGAAGCTCTGCTGTTGGGGAGATTTGTGCCAGAAATGATGGTGCCAATTTGAGTTGTTTGAAATGTTAATTTGCTAGTTCTCAGACTTTAGGTTGTCTGTTCCAAAACTTCTTGCTTTGGCACCTCCTTGGCAGCAGCAGTAACCCAGTAATCTCTGAAGGTGATCAGAAGTAGCAGTGATCATGCACGTGAAACTGCTTATATGCCCTCTGTGCTTATTTTCCCCAGACTAAGATTTCAACTTTAGACCTGTGTCCTCTGAGAGCAGGTTCTCAGTACTGTGTTCCCGCTGTCAGTCTTTCCCTTCTGTCATTACATGAAGGTGCAGGTTTTGTGTTGGCTGACTCCTTAAAGCTGTTCAGGTGTCAGGCCATCTTTTTAACTGTGCTCATGAATAAGGTATGCAGCTTCAGGCTCTGCTACACAATACTTCCTACTTGCTTATATGCCAGGCTCTGGTAACTGAAGATGCTCAGAATATGAGAAAGTTGACAATCATAAATTTTCTTAGGTGTTAAACTTGAAACTTGTCTTTGAATTTTGGAGGCTTTTGTAAGTTATCTGAGTGAATAACGTTTAGGCAAAACAATGCACATTAATTCTGGAAGAGGGTTGTGAACAGACTGAAAATTATTCTCTGCTTTGAAAAGATAGAAACTGAAAAACTCAATGTTGAGATAGTGGTTACACTTAATGATCAGATAACATGAGATAAATAGTATCAGAGAGAAGAGAGTTGACAAAGTAATTCCCCAGCTTCCTGACATCTTGTCTGGGATTCTAGACAAAGCTGTTAAAATAGTTGTAAATCTGCTTACATCTAAAGTGTCCTGATTTGTTTATATTGTGTAGTAAGTGATCTTGAATGTGTGTTCCTGAAAATCAGTGGAAAGAGGAGACTTCATAACTTCACAGTGGGTACCAGTGGTTGTTATTAATGACTTGCAGAGAGTCTAGTCAGTTATATCCCCTTGAACTTCCTAGACATTGAGCTTTTTTTGTTCGTTAAGCATTTTGATTAGACTTTCCAGTTACAGGAGCAGGTTCCATAGGAGGGAAAGGAGGAATAGTAAATTAAAAAGTTCAGTCCTAAAGCACAGACACTTTGATAAAAATAACCTTGTTGTTAATTTGTTTCTTATTTTTGGTATATTTTAATAAATTTCTCTAAAGAGTTGATGAAAGAGGAAATACTCAAATGTGCATTTTGTGTGTTCATACTGCAGTACAGTAATGAAGAATAATGAAGAATAATTGAAATAGTAAAAAATTAAATTACAGATAGAGCTACTGAGTTGACCTAGTATTTTGACATCCTGACAGTTAAAATTCAAGTACTCTTTTCTCTGAAAGGTAAGTTTGTGTTTGAGTTCCTGCCGCTTTTATCTCCAAATTAGCATTGTCTTCCAGATTTGTTTTTTTTTTTTTTATGTGTTTTCTGCAGTTCTTGATTTACTGCAGCTTTTCCCCTGAGGTTTCTGCTAATAATTTGTTTTGTGTACATGTTGGGGGAAGAAAGCAGTTCTCAATATGCTTCCAAACATGCTCATTTTCTGATCTGAAAAGTGAATCTACAAATTTCCAAAGGGGGTCTCTCTAGGAAAGAAAACTGAAGGCTTTTTAGATAATTTGACATTTTGCTGCTTGTTTCGCAGAAAACTTTTATTCTCATATGGAAAACTGCAAGAATGACTAAACATTTAAAATTATTATGAGTTTTATAGACTTACCAGTTTTCTTCTCTTTTTGTGCCAAGACATGAATATTCCTTTAACTTAGCTGACAAAGCTTATAAGATTGGAGAACACTCAAGGAGACCTAACAACCTGTGCATGGGAGTATTCATGTTATTACCATAGTTATACAAATCTCAATGTTTATTCCTTTCTAACAAACTTTAAAAAAAACTTTTTGTTTTTTGAATAGGTAGAGGATGGGTTATTTCTAATAAGTTTGATCTATGAACCCAGTGAACTGGCCTTGTCTCCATGTAAGTTATCTTACATTCTGGTGTACTCTGTTAGCTAGAAGCCTTTTAGGAAAGTATCACTGAATCTTTGTTCTGTAATTTTCAAAATTGAAAATATGCCACAAAACTACATTCTTTTTGCCTCAAAATACGTACCTTGTTTCTTGCTTTCAACTTAATACCTCTATTTAACAGTAATAATTTCCTTCCAGAGTCTCCTGCCAGAAACTTGTCTACCATTTGTAGACCCTGACAAAGTACACATCATTTTAGAAGTTCAATTTGCCCAACAGCCCACTAGGTTTTACAGCTGGAGAGGAGAATATTCAAGTGAAAGGAACTTCTGTGCATTCAGAACTGCTCACACACTTGACATAATGAATGCTTCACTTTTGATGGTGTTTGTACATCTTTGTACATCACTGCCTTTTGTTTGTTTGTTGTAAGTGTATATG